AAAAAAAAAAAAAAAAAAAAAAAAAAAAAAAAAAAAATTTGATGGTATACATTGGAATATTCTTGAATTTATAATCAAGCGCTTATGAAACACTTTATTAAAAAATCTGATTTAAATCCTATTTGTCTTACGTAACATGTTTATTTACAAAATTATTGTATATCATCATATATATAACTTTCATATCATTTGTTCCACTTTTTTTTGATTTTTGGTTAACTCGAACGCGTTTCAAAAGAAAAAGTGACGATTCTTTTACGTGGTTAATAATTAATAAAATTACAGTTTTTTATGTAGATAATAAAATACCATTTTTAATCGTTAAACTTTTCGCAATTAAAGCTTTTTAGTTAGACGATACAAAATATAATTTTCAATTTTCATATTCCAGAAATTCTAAACTATATAATTCATTTATTTAATATACTAACTACAAATTTTGATGAGACCCAATTTTTTAACTTTCATTTGCTATCATGCATGAAAATGAATAAGTAATAAAAAATTAGGTTAAGCCATTAGCCATTATTCAACGATTAAAGTTCATATAAAATTAATCCATCTATGGTTTAATATAAATATATTTGTATGTTAAATATTTATAGATCTGCATAATAAGTAAAAAATTTGGGTTTAAACATTATAATTTAAAGAATATGATTGATATCAAGTTCAATTTCTTTGGTGACGTATCCGTATATTGAAAACAAAAATTAGATAAAAATTTTATAATGTTGACTAATATTTTATAAATGTATATTTGCTTACCTTTATCACGAGGTTGGTTAGAGCGCATATTAATATCTAATTCAATTTCTTTTGTAAAGTAATCTATAAAATCATAAAAATCAATTAAATTATGAAATGAAATATGTTGTTTGTTAATATGTAATTTTATTTACCATTATTTTCATTTTCAAGAAATTTTCTTTTTTTAATACTTTGTTCTAAATAATTATGAATGTGAATTAAATAGTAGAAAATATATTAAAAATAATAATTTATTAAATTAATTACCATACCATTGTCATTACTATCTTCAACTGAATCATCTTCAAACTTTCTTTTACCTTTAAAACAATATTAATTATAAGTAAGAACATAAAAAAACCATTAAACAAAAACTGAATAATTACTGATAATAATAAAATGGATCTAAAATAAATAATTAAAATTTTTCTTATAATAAAAATGCGTTGTAATTAATAAAATTTGTTACCGATAGATTGACTCCTTGAACTCCTTAAAGACATTGCAGATTGAATCAAGTGACTTAATGGTCTACTCTTATAAATGGCGCCTAAGTGATTAGTTATTACAGGTCCAATATCTGATGATTCTATAATTTTAGTTGGATTAAAGATACTTTCCTCCCTATGTATTTTATCAATTCTACTGAATATATCATTAGCTGTTGGTCTATTATCCGGATTAAAATCCCAACATTCTTTCATTAATTCAACATATCCTTTGGGTGCATTTGTAACAATTGGTGGTCGTAAACCATCACATATTTTGATTATAAGTTCTATATCATGAATTTCATCCCAGAAAGGTCTTCTACCTGTCATAAATTCCCACATAATCATTCCAAAACTATATATATCTGAAGCTTCAGTATATTTTTGTCCTTGAAAAATCTCTGGTGCCATGTAAGGAATAATACCATATTTCTCATTATCATTATTTGATTCAATTGCAGATCTACTTATTCCCAGATCACCTATGTACGACTCAAATTCATCAGAAAAGATATTTCCACTATGTAAATCCCTGTGGATAATTTCTACCCTGTGCATTTCTAGAAGTCCATATATTATATAAAATAATCTACGCAGTTTTATCCGCCAATTAATATTATAAAAGTTATTACTTAAATAATGTATCAAATCACCTGAACTATAATATGGCATGATAATCATCATATCTTTAGTAATAGGATCTTGAGTAATTCCAAAACATATACTAATGCCATTAAATGTATATCTATTTGATAAAATCTGATAATATACCTTAAACTAAATAAATAGAAAAATATTAATTTATCATCATCATGTTGAAAATTAGAAATATTGTATGGACTGTACCTCGTTCAGTTCCTTGGATGTAATGTTTTTAGAATTATTAAGTTTTTTGAGAACAACTGTATAATTATTTTTACGAACAGTAGAGTAGTAGTAATTATGAATTGGACCATCAACCCAAATAGCTTTGTAAATTTTACTAAATCCTCCTTCGGCAATAAATTCTATATTTTTGAATTGATCATAGGGAACAAATTCCAATATCCTACAAATTTTACCTTTAACATAATTAACTCGTGTATTTCTGATAATGTCATCGATGACTTTGTTCCCACTTAAATTAGATTTGAATATTTCATAACATAATTTACAAGTTTCATGATTCTCACAATTTTTACATTTTTTAAATATACTTAGCCAACTTAAGGAAATATTGTCAGACATCATAAACGATATTTATATTAATTGTTTTGTTATTTCAAAAGATATATAATTTATTTGTAGCGTTCAAGAAAACCTTCTAGTATATATATTTAAAGTAAGGAGTTCAAAATCCTAAAGAATTATAGTAAACAATTAATCTAGAAGTTCATTATGGAAAGATTTTGAATGAACTCCGATTAGAATTCCATGAAAGAATAAAAGAATTCTACAGATGCAGTGATCAACTTAATTGTAAATTGTCGCGTGATACAGGTTACTATAATATCGTGACTCCGTTTTTTTTCCATTAAAAGCAAGTATTTACTGTTTGTGTAACAACTCTCGTAATAATAATTCCTTTATCCTTAGTCATTAAATTTCAAAATATTGGTTGAAAAATCGATATTGATTATTTTTATATATAAGATTTTTATTATTTTTTTTAAAAAAATTATCATGAGTGTATAAAAGCAGAAATGAAACAAGTTGATAAAAGATTCAAATAATTTAAAATTTAATTATATTTTTCACCCAAGCGTAAGTTCTTATATACTAAATTTTAGTTAAATAGCGTCCAAGATCTTAAAAAAAGTGTAAGATAAATTTCATAAAAAAGTCCACATAATATTAATAAACAAACTTTATAATAATTTATTAAAAATTTTCTTCCTTTACTTGATTTTTTTTTCCCTCTTTCTACAGCTACAAATATAAAATTTAATTATTAGTAAGTTTAATAAAAAAAATTATATAGATTAAATATTTTCACATATATTTGTAATTTATTGATTATCATCCATTCTATTAAAAGTTTTTTGAGAAAATTATTCATAGATCAAAAATTAAAAAATATATTCTTGTTTGAAGTAATATTTTCTAAGGTATACTTCAAGGGATAGTTTTCCAAATTTCAAATTTATTAAAATAGCCAAATTAGATCTTGGACTCAAGTCGAGCCAACTCGAGACTTGAGTTACACAAGCACAAATCCAAGCCTCTAAGCTAAAATAATCAAATTTTTAACCGGCCGCCTGTTCAAAATTACTTTATCAATTGATTTATTAATATTTAGTTTTTTTTTCATTTTATTTATTTTCGTGATTAAAATCTTTTTAAGTGTAACACTAAACAGAATTCCATTATATAACATGCTATATTTCATTAATCAGTTACAAGATAAAAAAAATTATGTTAAAAAAATAATAATAATAATAAAACGTTTAAAATTTCAACGCAAAGTAGGTAGGGGAGTGGGGACAGATAAGACAGACATACGCCTCAGAAAGTTGATCGCAAGTAATTTCGTGAAACATATTTATCACCACGAACTTTCAATCATTGGCATTACAGATAACAGAGATAATACTTTAGGAACGGGAACTGTTAGAGCGTCCGAAGCGTTATAATCACAAAAAAAAAAAAATAAATATAAAAAAACTCTCTAAAAAAAATGTATCGCTGCATTATTAAATTTATCATAAATATTAAATTGTATGTTAAAAGTTAATGCCGCGTTGCAAAATTTTCGATTTATTTCCATGTTGTATTTATTACGTATTGGCTAATTGAGCGAGTCCCTAAAATTTTGGGGTGTATTTCATTGATCAATTAAGATCAACATGTGATACGTACTAAAGTTAAATTATTGGGTATCAGGACATTTTGCCGAAAGCCATTTCGCCGAAAAATAATCTCTGGCCTGAGTTATTTATAATTCTGCATAATGTTGGCCCTATTTTTCGGCGAAACGTCCTTTCGGCGAAATGGCTTTCGGCAAAATGTACCGTAACCAAATTATTGAACGCTACTATTTTGAAAATGACAATAATCAAAATAATATATATTTCAGATTCAAGTGGGTTAATTTTATAAGTATTTAATGTTTTTATTTGTTTTTATTTAATAATCTTATTTATTAGAAATAAAGAAATGACAAATTTTTCTATAAAAAAAAAATATATATATATTATGTGTACTAACGTGTAAAAAAATCTTAGCATTTTAAGATTTTATAAATTATTCATTCTTTAAAACAAAAGTAATTGATATAAATATGACCCACAGAATTCCACCAATAAGTCCAAGAACGATACTCCATAAACGTCATAATTATTTCCTTCAATGAATCTCATCCTAGATTCAGCAGGAAACCATTCATTTAAAAATTCTTCATCAACAACTTCATTAAGATTACTACTATGTAAAATATATTCTATTGAATCGGCAGCTTTAAACTTTCTCTTGCTATTAATTTTAGCTAAAATTCCAATCTCTCTGAATTTTCTTTATATTCTTATCTTTTAATAAACAAATCTATCTTGTTTATAATATCGCTAACATCCAAGTTAAACTTATCTCTGATATATCTAAATTTTATTTTCTTTTATGACTTTATAATTTATCATTTGGAACCTGCTAAAATTAAATAAATCTGTTTGCATAAGATTTTAAAATTCTCATGATTCTTTTATTTGTTACAAAAATTGTAATTCCTTTTATAGAATTTCATTACCTGAAAAAATTGTCATTTAATTATGCATTCGATAATCCTATTGTTCTTTACATTTTGCGTAATCCTTTTAAAAGTTTAGAACTTATGGAATCTCTTTGCCATAGCTTGTTAAAATGTGAAAAAGGAAATTGTATACATGTGACTTTTGGCCGGCATTATTGCGTTAGGAAATTAAACGAGAGTAACAAGTATGATTTCACACCTTGTAAAAACCAAAGTTCCAGAATACTTATGAAAATGAGAAACGCGAAGAGTGTAACGCCTAGCAGATCACGTGGGGAAGAATCACACTCTGAATATCGCCGAAAAATTTTGATCAAATTAATAAAGCTTAATAAAACTCGTTACCTTCAGTTATTCATATTTATAGAAAAAATATTTTATTTTACTTTATTGAATTTTATTATTTTGTTTTGTTTTATTTATTTAATCTTATTTTTTTTTTCTTGTGGTAAACTATTTTATCTTATTTTATTTACTTATTTTATATTATTTATTTATTTATTTAAGTTAATCAATTTTTTTTTATTATATATGTTAATATTCAAAGTTCAAACCCACAGCTGTGGAATGTATTCAATAAATCAATACTTAATCAATTTATAATTGGATAATAAGAGTAAAAATATTTTAAAAGATTTTTTGGCATTGGCGCTTCAATGGCTTTACTAAAGGTATAATTAATGATGTAATTGAGATCAATGAATCAAAGATTTTTTTGCAAAATAACGATTATATTGATTAAACTGATTTCTTAACAAGATACTGTATTTTTTTTTAAAATAATCAGGGAATTTTTTTAAAAGAAGTAAAATAATAATTATGCTCAAAAAGAAAACATTTTACAAGTATATTAACCAATCTTTCCCTAATTCAACTCCACGATTCCTTCTATCCATGGTTTCCGAACTACTTTGCATGTCGATATGTCAAATGATCTCAATTTGAGATTTGGGAAGTTTCAACAGTTCCTGTCCGGCTGTCCATCATACCATTTGGAATATTTATTTATAAAATGTTATTTTTATTTTTAAATTTTTATTTTTTTTCACATGCTTGATAATTCAGTAATTGTATTAATGTTCTTTTATGGCTTGTAATTTAATTAAGATATGATATCATATAAAACACTAGCAATGTTTTAACAATACAGTATAATAAATATTCTATATGATTGCTGTTTAAAACGTAATAAATTCCTGTAGTAACAATGCAAAAATTTTAGTTTCATATTTTTTAAAACACAACGATTAAGAGATATTGTAATTACAGTCACGTGCTATTGAAATACTTTTCTTTTTATTTCCTTTTTTTACTTGTTCATATCCAAAAGAAGTAATAAATTTTACGTGATCAACATGTAAAATAAATCACCTGATCTATCTAAAACACTGTTGTTACAAAACATTAACAAATTAATTTGTATCCATGTGAATAAGTTTGTTTTACCGCTCCCCAAATATTATTAAGATTTTAGTAATTGCATTCTGAACGTAAAATTTTCAGTTACAAGTATTGCGGTAAACATTATAGTAAAATTTCTTGTAAAAAAATAATATCACATGTTTATCAAAGAAATGAAATTGATACATGGTATTTGGGCAGATAGTTAAAGAATTCCTACATAAAGTAAAATCTATAAAATCTATATAATCTATATAATCTGTATGAAACTTTTTAAATCCTGAATTAATGATAATGAACTAAATAACAATGTTTCATTATTCAGGAATATAAAATCATTGATTAATTAGGATCGAAAAAAAATTGTTATATAATTTGCCGTTTTTTTTAAAATGTATACATTTACCAAAAAATTTGTTAATTAATGTGCCCAACTTTGATTCTTGATTTCACCCTAGTGTACAACATAAAAAGTTGATTCCTACCTTCGCTCATTTAAGCTCATACTTGATAGTGTTAAGCCAGTTCTTGTATGCTTATAAAAATAAGCGTAGGGGTGTATAGTAAGCAGAAGGTATAATAATAAAAATAAATGTTAAATAATGTTAATGAACGCGAAGTGAAATAAACTATATGAAAATATTAGTAAATGTATCACTGTCGATCGATTTACGAAGGTTACACAATAAAACAAATGAAATTTCAGTCAAATGCGAATACGGTATTGCACACACGGGCATATACACTCAGACGCAAATGTTGACTCACAAATGTAATAAAACTCTAAATACACAATGAGATAATTTATTTAATAAATGCTTTATTAAAATATAACAGGATTATCTATCTTTTACATTGACTTGGAACACATATATTTATAACAAAAATATCTATGCTAATCATGTTTAAAATATTAAATAAATGCTACATATTTAACAAATGTAATATGTTAAATATGTGTTATATATTAAATATGTTGCATATGTTTAACATGTTAAACATATTAAACATTCGTAACATTTGCAACATTCGTAACATGATCGCCGGTCACATGATTATACGATTAACAATAGTGCGACTAATCCTGTACTAACAAAACTTGATTTACTCACTTTACCAAAAGCTCCTTTACCAATTTCAACTATTTGAATAAATTTATCATATTCAAAATAACGAATATATACATTCTTTACCTTTTTCTCAATATATAAATTATTTTATCATAAATTTTAGTTTTACTTATGAAAAAAATTCATTTCGTTGCAATACACAACTTTTTAATTACATAATACTCTATATTTTATTTTATTTATTTATTTCGTCAATTGATCTTACCTATTATAGAAAATTTAAATAAAAACCCTTATTTGCCAAAATTGGATAAATTTAATTGCCGATCAGATTATTGTGTTCCTTTGTGTATTTTAACTAGTCTTGTTTTACAATTTTGTTGCCGATCTTGAAATCATTTCAATATAGAATAACGTTTCACCACTTTTTTTTTTCATTTTTTTTTTTTTTCTTTATTACTTTTTAGTAATTTTTACACATGAATTATTAACATATTTTTTGTTTAAAAATTATTTATTAAAATGGATGAAATTAAATTAAGTGATGATGTTATTGAACAAATAAAAGACTTCATCTATCGTGAATTAACTAAAGAACAAGAATCGTTAATTGATAAACTAATAACAGACGAAGAATTAAAAGAACGTTATAAAAACTATGGTTTATGTAAAAATTGTAAGCAGCCTAAATCTAGTTTTTATTATTGTCGGTCATGTAAATCACAATATTTTAAACAAAATTTCAAAAATTGGACAAGTGGAAATCATGACGTTGATGAATTTATTCAAAAAGCACAATTAAAAGTTGAGGATACAGACCATATCATAGAGTGGATTGAATATGATAAATTTGAAGATGTTGAATATTTAGCAAAAGGGGGGTTTGGAACTACTTTTAAAGCAGTTTGGAAAGATGGTCCTTGGCAAATTAAATATAACAATAATCAATTGGAAAGGAAAGGTGAAACAAAAGTCGCTTTAAAGTGCTTACATAATTCCCAAGATATTACAGCAGATTTTTTAAAAGAAGTAAGATATTTTTACTGATTTTAGTATTATTAGCCTTTATAAATGTTAAACTAACTGTAATTTTCTTTTAAGGTTGAAACACATATTTTAGCACGTTATACTAATTGGATAGTTCGTTGTTTTGGTATTACCAAAGATCCAAAAACAAATAATTTTATAATGGTGATGGATTTAAAAAGTGGTAGCTTAAGACAACATTTGAACAATAACTTTATTTCACTGGATTGGAATCAAAAGTTACAAAGTTTATATCTTATTGCACTTGGTCTTAATGATATTCATAATAAAGGATTAATTCATCAAGATTTTCATTGTGGAAATATATTAAGTAATTTTGACGATGAAGCTTATATTACTGACTTGGGATTATGTCAACCAGCAAATGTACAATCCTCTCAAAATACTCAAAATAGTAATAAAAAAATATATGGTGTATTACCTTATGTAGCTCCAGAAGTTTTAAGAGGAAAAGAATATACTGAAGAAAGTGATATTTATGGACTTGGAATTATTGCATATGAAATTTGTACAGGTTTCCCTCCTTATTATGATATAGCTCATGATGATTTCTTAGCAATAAAAATTTGTAATGGGTTGAGGCCAAAGTCTAATTATAAAATTCCTCAATTAATTTTTGACATTATTAATCAATGTTGGGATGCAGACCCTTTAAAACGACCTAATTCATATGAATTACAAAAGTTATTTGGTGATTTATATGTTAAGAGTTATTTAGATTCTGTGCTCAATGAGCAAAAAAAAGAAGCAGATGAAATTAATAAAAAGTCGTCCTCATCATTTTCAACAGCTCAATCACCATTATCTTCTACAAGTACACTCCCATATATTCAATCACCATTATCTTCTACAAGTACACTCCCATATATGACACATCCTCAAGCAGTTTATACAAGTAGAATTTTAGATTTTAAAAATCTTCCAGAACCAAAAAATGCCGATAGTAATGATGATTTACTTGGAATAGAATATTCAGGTAAATTATATCGAATTTAATTTGTTTTATTAAATCGTATTTTTGATACAATATTTATTTTTGGCTTTTTTATATACATTAGAATCAATAAAAGTTGATTTTACCAAACTCAATATTAATTCCGAAGATTGCAATTAAATTTTTTGTTTACATAGTTAATAGAATATTAAAATAATGTAAAAGCAAAATTTTATTTTTCATCAAATTTAACCTTATAACTGTATTTTATACTTGTTTTAAGTTTATAAGATTTATATGTTTAAAAAATTATATTTATATATATTTATATATTTATTATACATTAAAGAAAATACATTAACTTACTTTTCTAGAATCCTCTATTAAAAATTTAAGAGAAAAAGGAATGATTTCTCTATTTTTTATCGTCGTAGTGGATTAAAGAAAAAATTACACATAATTTCTTATTAAAATATCATTTGATTATTTATTGAAGTTTTTTTTTAATTAACAAATATATCTTATTTTTTAATAAAATAAAATTATCTAAATAACCACATATACCATGTGATGAAATTTAAACATGAAATAACATTTGATTAAAAGGACAAATTTAAGGTATCAGGAAATAAAAAGGTCCTCTAGCGCACTTAGGATGTCAAAAGAAAAGTTTGGCTTGATTCAGAAGTATCTTAAATCCCAATGCTAATTCTCGTGTATTAGTAAATCAAATTAAACATATTATAAGTTTGAATTATTGATTAATTTGTAGTACAATTTTTGTGTTTAATATTACCTTTACGTTGTTAGATTAAACATTACAGGCAATAAATTAGCAAAGCTGGTATTCATAGTTAAAAAAGAGAGAAAATGTATTTCTTGTATTACAATTGACACGATGAAATCAGATCTGAATGTTAGTTATACAAAAGATCTAATCTGAATTACCTAGATTGCAATTCAGATAAAAAAATCATTCAAATTTTCTCTTTTTTTTTGATGATCAGTCAAAGAAAAAAATTATTTTTAACAATTGTTCACCAATTTATAAAACAAGACATCCATAAATGATTAAACTTATTAACATATAAATCAGTGGTAAACAAAATTTATACTTTTTAATAGTAATTCCAATTTGAAATGAAATAAATCATACTGTTAAACAGGTATAAAAATGGCAAAACTGGAAAGATCCAGCATTTTCAATCATTACGGCAAATTAGAGTAAATTTACTTTTTCCAGTATAAATAAAATTAGTCTCTATGTGACTAGTAATGAAATCTTTAAACTCATCATCACTGAGTTTAATTTCTTCCATAATAAATAATAAATAAAAAATACATTATACAGAGATTATGGATAAAATAAAAAAAGTAAAAAAAAAAATAATGAAATGAGATGAGAAAGACACAATTTAATTTGTAATATTGCATTACTGAGTCATGTGATTAATATTTATTTTAATCACTGTATAAAGAAATTAATAAGTATGAAGTTTTAAAAGGTTAAAATAAAATCTGTTCTCCGTTTATTTATATGGAAAATTAAGAGAATTTAAATGACTAATGTATTGTTCAAAAAAACTTAACCTTCAATATTAATCTTTGAAAAAATAAAAAAAAATTATTAACGTTAATACTGTTGATGTTATCATGTTTAAGAAATGCAAAAAAAGTCAGGTTAATTAATAATTATTTACGAATTTAGTAAAAACATATCAAAATAAGCTAAATTATTATATATAATTCATATGACAACATTATATAAAATTAATATCTGAATTAAATTTAGCAAAAAGATTGAAAAAAGGGGAATTGCATTTATCATATTTACCATTATATATTACTTATTTACTTTAAAATCAAAACTATCCAAAATTTCCAAATTCCCTCTTGGTTACCTTTTATAATGGATTGAATATAATAGATTTGAAAAAATTACCAGTTGAAAATATTTCAAATTATATAATTATCACCAACCATGATATACCGGTATTACTAGAGTGTTTATAACTTTATATTCTTCAGTAAATCATACTATTTATAATGGTTAATAATTTTTGTTTATTAAATTTAATTTTGATGGTTGAAAATAATTCATAAAATTTAAAGAAAACATTATATTTCGTAAAAATTTAGCCTAGTTTAAAATCCACAACCTTTTAATTATATAATATGGTAAGTCGAGTTGGACAAAATTATCAGACATTGTGCAGCAAAAAATCAAGCATGGCTAGACAAAATGTCATTCCGTATCTGACATTTTACCTGTTTATGCTTGATTTTCATCTGTCCCATGCTTGAGATGTACATGCTTGATGTTTTATCTGTACATGATGCTTGATGTTTTTATCTGTTCGTGCCTGGTATTTTTATCTGTCCGTGTCTATCTGTACTTGATGTTTTTGTCCAACTGTATTTAATTTAATCCAACTATACTTGATAATTTTATCTTGCCAAAAATTAGTTTCTTTGAGAATTTTTTTTTAATAGGGGGATGTTTTTGATAGAGGATTTTATTAAAGAATTTTTCTTTAATAGGAAGATAAATAATTTTTTCGCTGAGAATTTGAATTTTTTTTTTTAATAGGTAAGATTTTTTTGATAGATCATTTCGTTAGTAAATTTTTTTAACAGGGAAGTTTTTTTTTTTTTGATAGAGAATTTCAGTGAAGAATAACTTTAATTTTTAGCATTTTTTTTTTTAATTTTAATATTTTTTTAATTTCATAGAAATTTTTTACAAATTTCTTATTATATAATCATATAATATTCATAACATAAATTAAAAAGTTTTTAAAATAATTAAAAAAGTATATAGCAGAAATTTGTTTGAAGTGTCTCTCTTTTTTTCATTAGTAATATTAAATAATTGGCATAAAAACATTATTTGAAAATTTACTATTTTAAATACTTTTAATATATATAAATAAATAAAAATTAGGGATTGCTAAACGTCGCCTGGGTGATCATCGCCCGGGTTTTTTTCAAATATGCCATATCTAATTTTTGATCAGTTAAACTTAAAATTTTATTCCAAAAATTTTTAAAACAATTTTTTTTTGCAAGCATATTTATTCAAAGTAATCTTATTTAATGAAATTTTATTTGCAAAAATTAAAATTTAAGTCACACATTTACGATTTTAAAGAAAAAAATCACCATATTTATTTTTATTGAAGTGATACAAATAAAAGAAACGAAAGATGCTAATAAAAAAATGAAATAACAATGGAGTAATAGAAAGTAATAGAAGATGAAAGGGAAAAAAAGAGAATGAAAAGTGATAGGAAACAAAAAGGAGAAATAGGACATGATGAGAGATGTAAAGGAGTGATGGGAGACGAAGAGGTGAGAGATAAAAGGGAGTGATGGGAGACGAAAAGGAGTGATGGGAAGATGAAGAGAAGTACGCAAGTAACGCCAATTTACTTCAACCAGAAATAGTTACAAGACATTCGCCGAAAGGACGTTCTGCCGAAAAATAGGGGCATTATGAATAAAGATTATTTTTCAGCTCTGCGAAATGTTCCGATACCACCAGAATCAGGAATATGATATAATAAATTCTCTATCAAAAAAAAAATCTCTCCTGTTAAAAAAAATTGTTACAACAAATTAGGTATATGTCAAAAAAAAAAAAAAATCTTATTAAAAAAAAATTTTCCAATGAAATTTCTATTAAATAAAATAAAATTTTTAAACGAAATTATCCATCCCTATCAATGAAGAAAATTCTCTAACGAATTTTTCATCAAAAAAAAATCTTTTTATTAAAAAAAATTCCCAAAGAAATTCTATCAAAAAAGCCTTTATAAAAAAAACAAGGTTTTAATTTAAAAAATTAATAAGATATGATTTTATTAAAAGTATGATGTTTTTAAAAATATTCGACTCTTGTTTTTAATAATTTGGACACAAGATTTTAAAGCTGAATTTTTATAAAAAAAAAGTGAAGAAATTCTATGAGATTTCAAAGTTACATTCGTTGCGTATTGTTACAACACTATTTAATATTATAAGTTTAAATTATAAAATTATAAAAATTGTAATTTAAATTTTATAATGGAAAATCAATAAATATTTTAACTAAAATCATATTATAATAAAGGCATCAAAAAACTAATTATCATTTGCACATAACAAAAATTTTTATCCGTTAATATTATGATAAACGTTGCAAATATTTTTATTTTTAATGACAAAACGCAAAAATTTTAAAATTATGCATAATTGAATATAATGTTAAAATGCGAATGGTTTGTCACAAAGAGCAACTAACTATATATCTTTTTGAGGCCTAGCACTTATTTAATCTATATTTTCTAAATTTGTAATATTTTATAAGTCTACTTTAATGCAGGTTAAACTTACATTTGATGTTCGTTTGTTTTTACTAAAATCATTAAATGAATATTATAATAAAGAATAATTTATTTGTAATGTTAAATTGAAATTATTACATATACTTAATTCAATATAATGGTTTCTTTATTTATCCAGTTTTTAAAGTGCTTTATCAATTTATACTATATATTTAATTCAACTATTTATTCGTAACGTAATCCATATTTCAATGAAGAAATGATAATTCTACAAAATTTCTTCTCTAACTTATGATTTCTTTAAAGAAAAATAATAAATTGAATGGTTACTAATATCCGTTACTCGATATGTTGTTTATTTAAATAGATTTTAAAAAGATGGCCTTTTTTACCAACCATATTTATATTGAATTTAATTAATTTAGTCTCAATCAACTTTGAAAGTTAGATTTTTTATTTCGTCAAATTAAATATTAATCAATACGGAATCAAATAATAAAGTTTGTCACACAAATTGTATTTCTAAAATACGAACGTTGATACTGCGCCTTATGATCTATTCATGTGGGGATTATGGTGGTACAAGTTTTGATCAACAATTTGCATTTACTAATTTATCTGAGTAACGAACTTGAAACATACAGTAATTCTTTCTTTCCCTTTTTAATTTATTAATTACATTATGTCCACTCTTCGATATGAATTAATTTATGCAACAAATAAAAGAGCAGCAATGTTAACTGATACTAAAATTCATAATGATATACATAAACAATTTGAGTTCCTACAACTAACAGTTCTTGCTGATAAAATTCTTACAAATGAAGAAAAATCCGAGGCAATAAGGTTATTAACTAAAAATTATGATCGAAATAAAGTTATTTTTGATTCAGGAACAAAAAGAATTTGTGAAAATTGTAACCAAGAATGTTTAGCTACATTATATTGTGAATATTGTGTTCGCAATTATTTAAAAGAAAATTTTTCAAATTGGACATCTGGAAATGATGATATTGATAATTTAATACAGAAATGTCAAATGAAATCACTTGAACCACGGAATATAGTTGAATGGATCCCGTATAGCAATTTGAAAAATATTAATTATTTGACAAAAGGTGGATTTTCAGAAATTTATACAGCAGACTGGATTAATGGAGAATATGAAGAATGGGATTCTGAAAAAAACCAATTAAAAAGGGATGAAAGACCTGGAATACAAAATATAGTGGCAAAAGTAGTACTTAAAACGTTAGAAAACGTTGAAAGTGCAAATCAAAGTTGGTTTGAAGAGGTTTGTATAATTTTATTATATTTTATAAAATTAGTCAATTTTTGTAGTAACACTAGTATTTCACAAATTATTGTCTTTTAGGCTAAATCGCATTTAACTATAAATAATAAATGGACAAATGTTGTCCGGTGTTTTGGTTTAACACAAAATCCACCAAATAAAAATTATATGCTTGTAATGAAAAAAATGGATATAGATTTAAGAAAATATTTACAACAAAATCATAATCAACTTACATGGAAAGATAGAATTAAAATTACTTATGAAATAATCCTTGCACTTAGTTATATTCATGATGAGAAGGCAATTCATAGAGATTTGCATTCTGGAAATATATTATTTTCGCAATTTAATGATCGTTGGTATATTAGTGATCTTGGATTTTGTGGACCTGCTGATAAATCTTCAACAAGTATATATGGAAATCTTCCTTACATAGCACCCGAAGTTATTGTTGAAAGAGAATATACTTTTGCATCTGATATTTATAGTATTGCAATTCTTATGTGGGAAATTTCATCTGGACAACCACCATTTATAAATTATGAACATGAAAATGATATTGTAATGAATGTTATTAATGGTTTAAGACCAAAAATTGTGCCAGGAACTCCATTAGAATATAAAAATTTAATGAAAGAATGTTGGGATGCTGATCCATTAAAAAGACCTGATGCTAATGCACTTTGGAGAAAAATAAATGAAATTTATTTAGATTATCAAAATACGCCAGATGAATTATTTTAATCAGTAATGGATAATTTAGATATGAATAATATAGGAGAAAATTATACGAGTAGCAAATTAATTACAAGTAAAATTCATAACTTTGAAAATCTACCTGAACCAAGAAATGCAACAGAAGTTATAAATGTATAATATTTTATTAATAAATATATCTATTTTAAATTACATTATTAATGTTATCTTTTTATTATAATAGAAGAACAAGAAGGTATACTAACCATATAAATAATAATTATTACCATTTTTGGTTACTATAAGAATTTAATTTTTAAAATACTTTATTTACTACTAATAGCGTTTCATAGTAAATTGTATGATTTTAACATTCCTAACAATGTTAAGTATCTATTAACATTACAGTGTTCATATAATAATGTTTAATAATTAATTTTTATTTTAGTTAACGACTTTAATAAATCAAATGAGCAGAATAGTAATAAACCATCGAAAATAATTAATACTTTTGAGGGTAATATATTTAAATTTTATAATCGAAATAACAATATTTCTATAATAATAAATATCTTTATTCTTAATCTAGATTATAATGAAAAATTACCCAAAGAATTTAAAAAATTGCAGATAAATTCAAATGGTAAGTAAATTACTAACAAATAAAATTCATTTTATATCAATTTCATTTATTAAACGTGACTTTTATTAGAAATAACTTAACAAATAAAAAGGCAAAATATTAATACCGACGGTAGGTGAAAATTTTATATAATAATAAATAATTCTTACGCTATTTTAATTATATTTATTTTTTTATAGATGATGACGAAATATATAATAATTTAAATTTTCATTCAAAAGAACAAGATGAACTAGAAATTCCTGATGGTAAGCTTTTAAATAAATAAGATTTCTTTTTAAAGCAAACTAATTAATTTACTAATTTGTTCTCTAGATGGATTTTAAATTGACTTTTTATAAAATTAAAATAACAAATATTATATTATATTCCAAATTTTATCATTTATTTATACTTTATTTTGAATTATTTAAACACTAAGACTAGAGCAGTAGAAAAAATGTTTTACAAGATTCTTAGTTTGTAATTTAAATAAATTATATAATAAAGTTATTCATATTTTTTAAATGTATAAATTATCAATAAAAAATTTATAATAACAATTTATTTTTGTCGTCATCTATTCTTATTTATCTATTTTATGATATCTTTATCATCTTTATCTCAACAATACTAACGGCTTATATATAAAAAAATGGCCGATCAAAAACATTTCACTCATGGGTTTCTCTCAATTGAAGATAATAATTTTTGTCTTTGTTTGATATTTACGCTCAAAGCATTTTTTTAGGTTTTCTTTTATTTCGTATTTTAAGATTTTATAAATTGAATCAAATACGGATATTTATTATGAATAAGAGTTCAAGTTTAAAGGGGAGTTAGGACTATAAAATGTAAAATATATGAAATGTGAATTATTTTGAACTTGTTCATTTCTAATATTTTTTAACCATAATTGAGATAATTAGTATGCAAATTTTTTAGTATCTTAATTTTATCATACCTTCAGAATTGTTATTTTTTGTGCAGCAGTGAAAGGAGATGAAAAGTTCTATATAAAATTTACATACACTATTTTATATTCTAAGGACCCAACACGGATTTTATGTAAATGAGTAAAATATGTCTGTAGATTTTTTATTTAAAATTCAAACATATTTCATATAGTTTTAAATAAGTATTATTTAATATTATAAATTGTAAATTCAGAAAATGTATTTATACAAATAATTTATAATTAAACTGTTTTAAATGAAATACAAATCACATTGGTAATCACATAAAATTATCAATGAAGTTGTAAAACTAATTGATTTTTGTTTTTTTTTGGATTATTATCATCTTGTTGATTTTTTGTTTTTCATTCTTGTATCTTATCTTTAGGGACTTTTAGCACTTTTGATTTTTCAATTAATGCCGATCATGCAAAATATATATTAGTTATTTGATAGGGGGGTTAGAATATCACCGAACTGCGAAGCAGTTCGGATGACCAATATCAAATAACTGTGTTATTCTGCAGCCGCCAATGATCATCTTATAAATACAATAAACTATTGATTAAACAACGTCAAAAATATCAATAATAATTATGCAATGGTAGTTTATTTATAGCTTAATAAAAAAAATATCAGCATGATGAAAGAAGCATGATCCTATTTGGCTGTAGAATAATAATCATTTAAGCCACAAAATGTTCATTTATTTTATTTATTATTTATTTCTTTATATTTAAATCATGACCTTTTAAATACCTATTATTATAAATAATTTAAAAAGTTTAAGAAAAGGATGGTTATGTCATGTGATTGCAAGCTATACATACATATTTTGTGCTAACTTAGACTTAGATTTAGATTGAAATATTAGTTTGTGTTTTAATATAAAATATATTAGTATAGTTTTTATTTAAAAATTAAATAAAATAGACAAGTATTTTTAAACCTATTACAATATAAATCTATGTGAAAATTTTATGTAACATAAATTGAAATTTACATAATATTTAGTTAACTTTAATATAAAGATGGCGAAGACTTTAATCAGCATCCAGCATTTTTAAATGATAGAAGTAAAGAAGTAATTCTTAAATGTCATAATGATTTAAATGTAAATTTAAATGAATTTTTAAATGACGTAAATGAAGTATGATAGTATATTATTTATTTATTTTTTTTAATTCAAATTATATATTTATTTATACTAATATATATTATTTTTTTACAGTGGAAATGGCATGAAAGTATTATTTATTTTTATGGATTTACAAAAAATCCAGATACTTTGAAATATATGGCAGTGATGGATTATGCAAATAAAGGTAATTTAAGAGGAATCTTAACAAGAATAATTGAAAGTAATTGGAATCAAAAATTATATATGCTGTATAGAATTATTTCTGGACTTAAAGATATATATGAGCAAAATCTTATTAATTGTGATTTTCATGATGGCAATATTTTAAATCATGATGAGAGTAAAATTTATATTTGTGATTTAGGATTATGTCAACCTGTAAAATCATTTTTGAAAAAATATGATATTTATGGTGTTATACCATTTATGGCGCCTGAAGTTTTAAGAGGCAAATCTTATACTCCAGCTAGTGATATATATAGTTTTCCTATTATTATGTGGGAATTTACATTTGGAATACCACCATTTAATAATAGAGCACATGATCTTCATCTTAGTTTAAGTATTTGTAAGGGTGAACGTCTTGAAATTATTGAAAATACTTCCCAATGCTATGTAGATTAATGTTGGAATGAAGATCCTTTGAAAAGATCATCTTTTAAAGAAGTTTTTGATATTATTGAAAAATGGATTTTTTTCCCTTATAAAAAGAAAATTGAAGAGATCAATAAAGAATTAAAATGCAAAATTGTGGAATTTATAAATGCACCAATTGAGCATAACAATCTTGCTACTGAAACTCATCCACAAGCATGTTATAGAAGTCGCTTACTTGATTTTACTAGTAAAGAATTGAATGAAATTCTTGAAAGTGAAGATTCACAAGATTCTTCTACTGGTATAACTGAAGATTTGAATGATTGTATAATTAAAGATATAAATAATTAGGTATGTAATATAGTATATAAAGAAAATTGATCTTGAAAATTTATTATGTAAAATTAAATGTATTTATTTAATTATTCAGATGAAATAACTTAATTATAGTTTATTTTTTAAAGTGACATTTGACATGATCACATGATGTATTTAACAGAAATTGTTTTTTATTTTATTCTTTTAGATTTATTTAAACACTAGTAACACTAGTAAAATTTCTTAGTTTGTAATTTAAATAATTCCTTTTTTATATAGTTTATCCAAGTATTAAATTTTTATATTCTCTTTTTGAATTATTTAAACACTAAGACTAGAGTAGTAAATATTTTACAAGTTTTTAGTTTGTAATTTAAATATTATAACTTTTTCAATAAATAAATTACCAAACCAACATTTGTTTCGCTCTAAAATAAAAGACCAAAAATCTGACTGCGGCATGTTTTTTAAAAACAACTTTCATGTGATAAGTTCTCACACAAAATAATTTTTATCTTGTTTCCAACTAAATATATACATGCATTGCACTTTTGATCAACGTTTCAATTTATTTTTTTATTTGTTAGAAAAAAAATGACTTTCGAAATTCGAATTCCCTCAAGAAGTGACCAGTATAATAAAATATAGAGAAAAAAGGTTATGCTAGAAGAATTAAAATTCATAACTAGGAAGAGCGTTCAGGCAACTCTTAGAATTATTAAATTGATTTTTATTAACTAGAAAGGAGTATCATATAGAATAATTTCTAAGAATTTCAAAATTTTCTTGAAGCTTAAGATGGTAAATTTCATTTCTTCGAGATCTAAATAATGAAATTATTAATTTAAAAATATTCAAATAATTGTAATTATTAGTTATTAACTAATAGTTCTAATTTCTTTTTAGTATTTACTTAGAAGTGATATATAAAAAATTTAATATAAAATATTGTTTTGAATTATAACCATTTATAATTAGTTAAGGCGTATGGTCGCTTAGATGATTATAATATAAATTCAAATATAAGTTAAAATCCTTACTTATTTTCATTAAAGAAATTGATAAATAAATCTCTTGTTATATTTACATTATCCAATTAATTCATCTAATTCATTTGAAACTTCACCAGTTTTATGCTCGACTATCAGAAAGAAAAGTAAAACAAAGGTGATAACAAAAATGGAAAAATGGCAAAAAAAGAGAAAATATTTGAACGGCAGGTGAAAATATTGAAAATGTAATTATTTTTGATTAATACATACATGGAAGAATGGGAAAAAAAAGAGGAAAGATTTCTAAAATCCAAATCCCTTTGTAGAATTGTCTAAAAATTTTAAAAAAGTCATTATAGTATGTAATATGTAATTAGTAAGTTAACGTTCCATTTTATAATTTTACTTATAATAAAGTAACTTATATTTAATTATTATTACGTTATAAATATTATTAGTTATTGCAGTATTAGGACGTATTCCATATGCTTTGAATTTTGAATTTGTAATCATTATCATTTATTTTATTTAAAAGTCATTTTATAATAAAATTTTACATCTGACTCCGATAGTTAATAATGGAAATGTTCATCCGATATACCTTTGCAAATATGCAATGTACTAATCATACTAACCATAATAGTATTCAGATGAATGCTGAATGGTGAGATCAGCAAAAAATTACAGTTAAGTAGTTAACGGATTTAAAATTCCGTCACACCATAATTGTAGCACGTTTTTAACGTTAAGGCGACAAAAGAGGACTAAACAGGGAAAGAAAAAAACAAGCAATAATATTCGTTTGATTTGTTGAGCTCATTCTGATTATTTTTGGTAGTGGAACCTTGAAGAACAGCCTTGTGTATATTAAGAATATGCAAAGAAATGATTGAATGATTATATGTAGTACTTTTAACTTCCCGACTTTAAAAGGTCACTTGCAATTTGTTGTATAAAAGTACTATGACTTTTTTAATATAGTATACCGTCTATATTTTATGTTAATTTCAGTGTAACTGATATTTGAATAAACGAATATAAAAGGCTGCTCCTTCCTTTAACACGAGATTTGACTTTTAAAAATAAAATATGTGATATCCGTTATCATATTTCTCTTGTTAATTTAGTCGTACATTTACTTATATACTAAAATGTATTCTTATCGTTCGTCTATTTATCATGATAACATTGATAACGTTTCTGAAATATTATCAAATTTATTTAATACATATATGGATCCTCATATTGTGAATTGGTGTCGACATGGAAATATTATTAATAATAATACAACGAACGTTTTAAATCCAAGAGATCGTAACTTTCAAAGATTTGTTGATGCAGTAACCAATCAGAATATCGATCCTACAAAAATCATATTAACTGATAATGCCCAAATATATCAACAAATTTTTCTTAATAATTTTACTTCACTCGTAACATTTATGAAATTTGTTCTTGGGATAACTTACCTTTTAAGAAATTCTAATATAGTATATCTCGAAGATGTTTATCCATTTATCGGAATAACATATTTTATTTATAATAAAATATATAATTCACAATTATTGCTCAACAATAAGTCACTTATTTTACAAGATATTCGTAATTTATGGAGTATTTTTCTTTTTAGAAAGGCTAATAGTCACACTAATTTGTAAGTATAATAATTTTTATTTTATTTTTTTTTTAAAACAAAGAAATTCTTATTTTTACATATTTATATTATAGGAACGGCGAATGGCATGTCCTGGTTCGGGAAACTAAGAATCCAGTCCCCACAAGTTCACGAAGAGTGTGAGTGTTTTTTTTTATCCATATTAGTACGTATCGTACTATAACTAATTATAATGATCATTAAATATTAGGAATTTGACTCCTGCGTTTAATATTATAGATTTTGGTACCACTAGAGCTTCAACTCCGTTATCCATTTACATTCAAAATTCGTTAATTCAAGCGCTTAATGATGTTTTAGCTATTTAAGTTTTGTCAATCTTGTATTGAATTTCTGGGGAAAAAAATATGCGAATAATATGATATTAATAAGATTTTATTTAAAACGTCAACTTTTCTTCCAAAATATGATTCAGGAATATTTGCTTTTCTTGATAATAAACCACGTTGCAATATTATAGTCACATAACGAAAGACGTAAATAAGGCAAATTTATTGACATAAGAAATCTTTTGAGAAAGAACGCAAGGTGATAGAGGTACTAAAAATTATAGGAGTGTTAGAAAAAACCAAAAAAAAAACTGTTATTGGTAGAGAAACTTTAATTTAAATAGTACTATCAAATTATTCACCTGTTCGCTTCGTAAAATATTATCATAAAGAACCAGGAATGAAATAATTTGCACATATATGAGGTCGCATTTTAAGTAGATTGTATTAAGCTTATAATTCTTTCCTTTAGTTAATAATAAATGTTTAGAATTTTAAGGATTTAAATCATTAAACAAAATGTTTTTAATAAATTCGATCAACTCTCTTAAATTTTCAAGTATTGAAAGTTCTCTTTACAGAGAAGCAGAAACTACCTGAAACAAATAAAGGATATGATGATGTTATTACCCACTCTGGTGAAATTACTTTAGTACCGTACTATATAACGAATTCGTAAGAAAATTGGTAGAATTTATCTAATGTATCGCTCGATTCGCTCGTGGTACTGAAATGCGGCTGTGGTACGTTTGTGATAAGTTCCCATGAAATGATTTGCATGTTATTTCCAATTACAGTTAATATATATGTATGTTACATTTGAAATAGAATTTCTCTCAACATTTCAACTTTACGCTTTTTACCTATTAAAAAAAAAATGACTTTCGAATGCTCTCAAGAAGTGGCCGATGATTACGAAAAATTACTTGAAACTGATGAAGATTATAATGTTATTATTTACGTTGGTGAAAATGAAAACTTAAAGGAAATACATGCACATTCAAGTATTTTACGTATTAGGTCCCAATATTTTCGTGCTGCATTCTCTAAGGAATGGCATGAAAAGAAAGATGGAAAATTCATCTTTAGAAAACCTAATGTTTCACCTCAATTATTTGATATGATTTTAAGGTAATCTTAAAGTTTCTATATTAATTAAAATTTAAGATGATAATGAAATATTTTAAATTAAATTTAAATATTATAATTAAAACTTATTTTTATATTCAGATTTATTTATTGTGGGAAGATTGATTTGAAGAAATTACAAGGACCTGATATTCTAAAACTTTTGATAGCAGTAGATGAACTTAATATTCAAACCTTAATCAATCATATTCAAGAATATTTAATTAAATATCAAAACGAATTTTTGCAACAAAATCCTCTAGAAATTCTTGAAATAATTTATCATTATGAAACTTTCAAAGATTTATTCAATTATTTTATAAAGAAAATTTGTGAAGAACCAGAATTATTATTTAATTCTGATAAATTTATTAATTTGAAATCACCTTTATTAGAATTACTTTTGAAAAGAGATGATTTATTGTTAGATGAAATTGTTATCTGGGATAATTTGATTAAATGGTGTCTGGCTCAACATTCTAATATTTCACAAGATCCTACACAATGGAATAATGAAGAAATCACCATTATGGAGAGAACTATTCATAAATTTATTTCATTAATAAGGTTTTGTTATATTTCTACGGAAAATTTTGTTACTAAAATATATCCGTTTAAAGAAATATTTCCGAAAGATTTAATTAATACCATTCTTCTATTTTATGCTCAAAATAAGTTAAATGAGGATAAAAGACCTCCTAGACAATCAAAATGTAATATTGATTCTGTTATAATTAATCAAAGTCATATTGAAACCTTCGCAAAATGGATTTATAGAAAAGAAAAATTTCCTGAATATATTCCTTATAATTTTCATCTTTTATATAGAGCCAGCAGAGATGGTAATACACCTGCAGCATTTCATGAAAAATGTGATAACAAAGGAGCTACCATTGTTGTAGTTAAAGTCACTGATTCAAAGCAAATAGTTGGAGGATATAATCCGTTTTATTGGGATTTGAATTCAAGAGAGAAGCATAAATCTACTTATGATAGCTTTATATTCTCATTTAATGATCCCCAAAGTGCAAAAGTGAGTTATAGCAATGGTAATCAATATTCTTTATGTTATTATTCGGGCAATAATGGTCCAGTATTTGGTGGTGGTAATGATTTAAAATTTCATAAAGATACTTGGTATAGTAATATAGATAATTATAGCTCTTATCCTAAAATTGATATACCTACAGGTAGTTTTAGAGCTGATGATTATGAAGTTTTTCAAGTTGTTAAAAAATAATTAGAGTAATATAGTTTAACTTTTTTAGCTTAGAATAATTCTCATTCGCGTACGTATTAAATTTTTGCTACTACAGTAGCAATTTTTTGGATGAATTGTTTATTTGACTTTACTTTTGAACATTAAAGGTATAAAAATGCTTTACTATATGTATATATAATATGCTAGAGTGTTTGTTATGCGAATTGAACATAAATTTAGATAAGACAGTCCTGATGCTTATATCGACCATCCCCGAAATTCAAATTTAAGCCTTAAATGTCTAAAACTCTTTAAACAGAATTTTTAGAGGTATTTATTGTTATAAAAATGATGCTTTCGAAAGGAGCTAATGATTTTGAAAAATTACTTAAAACAGAAGAGTTAACAATAATAATTATAAATGAAAAATCAAAATGTTGGAAAGAAAATAATCTGCTGAAGAGAAAGAAGTGAGGTATATGAGTTTGGTCATTACTTTATTTAATTTTAAAATGATTAAAAAAAATGTTGGAATTAATGTACATACATATGTAGTCTGTAATTTATACTGCTTTTTTTTTTATTATACTATTAGCCTATATTTGCATATGTATTTTCTTTATGTAAATAAAATACTTATTTAGCAAATTTTATTCCATTAAAAAGGATTTCAAGTATTTTAAGTAAAATATAAAAATTAGTAATATATTTTAGGAACTAACATGCACATATTTATTTAGTGATGTAATGTGTTAATGCTTAAAATGCAAATTAATAACAATGAAACAAACATATAATTTTAGTAAAAATAGTATTAATAAATAAACTAAAATTATTACTGGGCAAGGAAATTTGTATTTGTTCAACATAATATACACTTTATTTTATCCAAATTAATAAAGTAAAATTTTAACTTAATTAAAAAAATAGTGTGAAAAGAATTTTGCTAAAAAAGAAAAAAGAGAAAATATTATAATTAATTTTGCAATTTTTTTTAATTTTATCACATTTGGAAATCTCAATCATTAATTGTCTAATGAGAAAGTATAAGTATTACGCTTCTTAGGAAGTCCCTTGTGGCAGGGCCGTCCCCCTAAAAAAAAAATAAATCTGGAGCGAAACAAAATAAGTTGGTCAGGCCTCACCCGAACGCTCCTAAGAAAAATATGGGTTCTGAAAAGCTTGAAAGAAAAAAAACGAAACCCGAAAAAAAAGATAAAAAAAAAGAAACCGAAAAAAAACTAGAAAAAGAGAAAATTGAAAAAAAAGTAGACTTAAAAAAAGAGAGACGAAACTTGAAAGAAAAAAAAAGTAAGACGAAAAAAAGAGAGACGAAACTTGAAAGAAAAAAAAAGTAAGACGAAAAAAAGAGAGGACAAAACTTGAAGAAGTAAAAAGATTTACTTATTTTTTGTAATTAAAAATAAGTAAAAAAGAAGAAATAACTAATTCGAAAATAGTGTTTTTTTCCGATACTAACGAGCTATTCGGGGAGTAGACTTTTGACCTTTAAATGTATATTTCAATAAAGAAATATTGAGGGCAATGCTTCTATAATATTTTGGAGTATTGTGGTAATTGATTAAACCCGTTGCCAGTAGGGTTGAGGTTATTATCCATTTGTAAATTATTTTGGTGGAAAGATAAATAAAAACAGAAGTGTTATGTTAAAAATTTATTAAAACTAACTGGTCTTATCTTTTAGAAAATATCAAGAGTTACTGTATCTATTATATTATCTCAAAAAAGTGAGCCCAAGTAAATGTAAATAACTTTATTACGTTTTCAGTAACAATTTAAACACTGTAATCGAGCACATCGACGCATCTAAAACACATCGAATATAATGAATCTGAAACTCATTAGGAGTTTAAATGGAAAATTAGTAAATTTGGTAACAACTATTATTTAATTATCAAAAATAATACATTTTAAACGCGATAAAAAATTACTTCAATTTGTATTATTTTTATTGCTTTTCATTATCTGCAAAGGCATTATATTTATTAAAGAATTTAATTTTAAAGAAAATCTTCAAACTTTATTTTTCTAAATAATTATGGTTGAATTTAATCTATGAAAAGGGACATGTTTTTTATGTAACGATAATTATAATTTATAAATAGTAACAATATGTTTATAGAACTTTAAATTTCACTATAATAAATGTACACAAGCAACTTTAATATACCAAGCAAAATATTTTCATCTATAAACAGGAAATATACTGTATCTCATTGGACTGAAAAATTTTAAATCCTATGAAAAATGGGTCATGTTAATCAAAATTTAGCAATAAAAACGTAGATACATAGTAACAAAGAAATCATACCAAATGAGTATGAATTCAATAGAAAGAAGAACCATTAAGTATTTGACTTGCAAATGGATCATTCGTAATTTGTAAAGGTAATCGTGCGATTAGATCTAATGTATCATTGTTATTATTCGAAGCACGTCTTCCATATGTTCTGTTGAAGATCATACGTCGAATTTGTCGTCGATTTCTTCTATTAATTCTTCTTTGATGACGATTTAAATATATAAAAGAAATATGAACACAATTAATGTTATTTAACGACATTTTTTTTTACGTACAATCAAGAAATTGTTCAAAAAATAGAGAGAAGAAAATTAAATTATTTGGGCTGTGAGAGTATTTATATATAAATCGTAAAATAAGACCATCTGTAAGATTCACTCCTATCCGGGTCTTTCGACAGGCCCAAACTGGTTAAGGATAGAAAGTAATACGTTTGAGTCGTATGATTTAAATTAAAGTCAATAATTTAAAACGAATTGTCTTACCATACTGTAAATATCCTTATTAACGAATGGACGCATTATATTAGCTACGTTATTATTATTGGACTAACTAAAAAATATTTGATCATTTTTTATTCTGAATATATTTTTTTAGACGTATCATAATGAATTTGAATTATATTGGTCAAAAGCAATCATTTTATTGTGATTAACAACAATGATAAATAATCGGCCGATTTCCCGACATAATGGATTTTAAATCTTTATCTAAACGTACGACAAAAGATGATATTGAGAACTTCTTTTTAGGTTGTTGATTTATGATTTATTATTATTTGAAAAAAGATTATTAGTATTCTATCGATCTTTAAATGAATTTAAATGAACAAAGGAATTTTTTGAATGAAAATTCTATCAAAATATTTGTGGTCCACTCCATTAACTTGACGTTCTAGCCATTACAAATTTGGTTAATTTCGTGTTATTGTGGTTGAAATCAAAAATCTTTTTGACAGAATGGTACTATCACTAAAATGTTTAGAGTAGAGAAAAAAGGTTTAGGTTGTATCATTTGTACGACGGACGTATGATTATCACATGTGTAATATGCTGTCTCTTATCTGTTGTGTCGCTATATGACATTTTTCGCAATACTTTAGAAAAGGTCGAGAAAAGAAAAGCGTAGATGCATCTTGTTATTGCAAATAAAAATGCACCACCATTTGCAAACTCATAAACCAATACTTTAAAGTTTAAACCAAATGCTGAGATATCATTAATTCATCAGTGTTGCTAATACTTACCTGTTGGTATAACATGCACGTCAAACGTGATACCTAACACAAGTGTTTAAAGAATATAATTTATTACGTACAATTACAATTAACATAAAAAGTGAATGATATTTTTACGATAATGGCCGATACATAAAATCATTTCATTTCGATCATTATATCATAACATTCTAAATCATTTATTTCCTTTTTCTTCGCTTTTTGAGCAGTGTACAAATGAAAGTTCGATTATTCAGCAAGATTTACCCACTGGAAATTATGTCATGTGATCTTTTATAATTTTGACCCACATTAACTTTATTATAAAACTTATAAAACTTTCTATACCCGGCCCGCTTTAAGTTTCGTACCATGTAATATTGTAATACTGTATCACTATAACGACTATTCTTAACAAATTCCTACCTTCATACTAATATTTGAAAATTGGGAAATTTCTAATTTTAGTTTAAAATTTAATCACATGTTAAATTTAATGAGTGACACGCTCCTGTGGATTACCCATTTGTTTCCTGCTGGGAAGGGAAACCCTATTATTTCAACTCTCCATGAAATACATAATACTAATAATTAATTTATTTATATTATAAATATCGTTCTTTAAATTTAGCACTTTTGCCAGGAAACAAAATTAATAAAATAAAACAATATTTACGGATAAGAAAAAAATTTAGTTAAAATCCTGAGCTGTATTTAATATTCAACTATCGAGCACAACCTCTGACATACAATTCGCATATGAAATTTGTCAAATTTCGTATGTATTGATTTTAAAATTTGCTACGCCACTCTTGAATCGTGAACAAATAATAAATACTGTTCAATAATTAGTAAATATTGAAACGCAACTCGTACAGTGACTCCCAAATTCATCCGCGGCGCAGATTTATTAAAAAAAAACTAGTTCATTGTGACACAAAAACTTTTGTTAATTTTTATGGGATTATCTTAGTATTTATTTCCTTTAAGCTTCTATTCCTTTTTTATTGTTTATGTTTAGCTCATTGTATATATCAAAACCTTTCTATTCTCATTGTGTATAGATTTGAATCTTTATATGTCTAACATTCAAAATCAAAATTGTCAAAATAAATTAGCTAAATCTATTGGGTCATTAATTGCATTTGTTACAACATTGATTGGTCTATTTTAATCTCCTCTGCGTAACATCAATATCATTCATCATTTTTCTCAGACGTTTTAAATGAGTTTGCTTTACGTCGATGAAAACGAAAATGCGAATGAAATGCATGCAAATTCATGTATTTTACGTATTAGGACACGATATTTTCGTGTGGTATTCTCTAAGGAATGATACGTAAAGATGGATGGTAAATTTATTCTAGAAAACCTAATATTTCACTTCAAATACTTTATAATTCCTTACACGTTAAATTAAGTTGAATACGGCAATTAATATTTTTTATATTCAGTCAGACTTATTCATTGCAAAAGGATTGATTTAAAAAAATAAAAAGGACTTGACATTTAAGGCTTTTGTGGTGAATGAACTTGGAATTCAAACATTAGTTAAACGTTTTCGTTAAAAATCTACGGGAATTTTTATAACAAAATCCTGTAGTAATTCTTGAAATAGTTAACCAACATGAAACTTTCACAGATATGTTGAATTATTCTCTTAAAACCATTTGCAACTAACTAGAAACATTATTTTTTCTGATAAATTTACTAGTTTGGAACCACCTTTATTAGAATTATCTTTGAAAGGGATGATATGTTAGATGAAATTGATATCTGATACAAATTGGTTAAATGGTGTTGGATTAGCATTCTAATATTTCGCAAGAACCTATACAATGGAATAATGTAGAAATCACAATTATGGAAAGAGTAATTCATAAATTTATCACATTAATTTATCGCATTAATAAAATTTATAATACTTCTTCAGAAAGAATATCAAAAGATTTAATAAGTTAAGGCCCTTTGTAGTCAGTTTTCAATTGGTTAAAGTTTTTTTAGTGGTTCCAACCTCAACACGACCTACACGTGATGGAAATCGGTTCGTCGGTTCTAATTTGGTTCCATATCGGCTTCAATTCTGCTCCAATAAATAAAGTTATGAGCTACGTGTGTCAAATTTAGGAAATAGGTAGAGCACGTAATAATGATCAATTAGAAAAATTTTGATTGGCCTTCAAACGATAGTTGATATGTGATCTTTACTGATGACTCGAGTCGGTTTTTGAAATCGGTTCAAAGTCGGTTTCGGCTCAGAACTGTTTTTATAGTTAAAAGTAGTTTTAAACCCAGGAGATCCAGAATCTTTTAAATTTAGGATCGGTTCTAGAATCGACTCGAGTCGACTCATTTTGTACCGATTCCATATCTACCTTTACTACGATTTCAATTATAATTAATATGAAGAGATAAAACTAAATATTGATACAAATTTCTAATAAATAGTATACTAATCGCCTGTTTTCCAAATATTGGTAGTATCCTATTGTATCTAAGAATTCATGATGCATCTAATGACACATACACTATTTTCAAATGAATAGATTAAATTCAATAAGAATTAGTATCAAGCATTGAATGTGGAAAAAGTAATAAATTATTAATAATTATAGTATTCATTATAAGTTATATGTTTTTTGCTCACAAATGATTAGAGCATGGATCCAGTTAGTAAGTTTAACCGATTATAAATTGTTAAACCGGCTGGCAAGATTTTATTTTATAAATAAGAAATAGCCAGAATGTAGGAACCGAACTATACACAGTATATGTGTAAAGAAAAATATTCTGCACATTTTTTCAGGGCCGGAATTATATAGTGGCGACATATCTAGAAAGCAATAAATTCTGACTGGAATTATCTATCCTATAAAAAAGAATGTCACACTTTCATAGGTAATAAGGGTAATAAGTAAAGTAGTACCACTGTACATTGATGCAAGTTCGGATACGCCATTACATTTTGTGCGTACGTTTACAAGATCTAAAGAAAAATTATTTTATTTTTTTTATTTCGTATTTTCGTACACATACGGGCCGATCTACAGAACCGATCAAAATTAAAAGTAGTGACAACAGAAAAATAATTACTGCACAAAAGGAAAGAAAAGCAAAAATAGTTGAACTGTGGATGTAGAGTAATAGAAAAATAACTTTAAAAGACATATACAGCTGAGTACGGAAAATTTTGTATTACCGTACGTACTGTAATAATTTATTATACTCCACTTTCTGGACAACCTTCCTATCATTTTCGATGACAATTTACGGACATTCTATTTTTTATACTAGGACTATAAAAGGAAAGAACTACGTGATTATTTTGATTAATTCTACGTAATCTCATACCTCTATCTTTTTATGCAATAGCTCGGGTCCTCAAAATGTCAAATTGTCCAATTGTTGTACTATAAGGAGGTGGACTTTTTAAAATAGACTAAATTTAATGAAAGATATATGCACAATAAAATGATTATATTTTCAAATTTAGTAACTGAAGAACGACTTGAAATTTATAATTTATTAACATATATTATGTCCCTTTATATTGTGTGACCAAAATTTTTGGCTGCATTCTTTTTGTTTATAGAATTATGGAAATTAATGCGATGGAAGTAATTCATCAAAATTTAATTGAAATAGTGAGCTGAATATATTGAAAATATCAGTTCTTGTTATACAAGGAAGTAAAAATTCTGCACTTAAGGTAATTAAGATATGATTTATAATATAGAGAGCTTTTAATTTTCATTTATTATTTCATGTGATTTTAAACTTGATAATTATATAGATAAAATAACAAAAGCATATGATATGTACTTCATTCATATACTGTAAAATTGTGATTGAGTTTTATCCTTTGATGAACTTAACTAATTTATAAATAATTATCTTTACCAAATAATTTAATAAAATTAAAGCAATATGTTAATCTGACTATTTTTTAACAACTTGAAAAACTTCATAATCATCAACATCAAAATCATTTTTTGGTATACCAATTTCAGGAAAAGCTGTGTTATTTATACTAGCATCGCTGGACCAAATATAGCCTGATCTTCCAGCAGTAGCTAAATGACAACCACTATTACCACCGAATGCTGGACCATTACTTGCAAAACCACACACAGAATTTGCACCATTACTGTAACCTACCTTCGCGTTTTGGAAGTTATTATTATTTGCAAATGAGAATATGAAACTATCATAAGTAGTCATAAATGTGTTACCCGAATGCCAATAAAGTGGATTATATCCTCCGACAATTTGTTCCGAATTTGAAATTTTTACTATAACTATAGAAGCCCCTTTATTATCACATATAGAGTGAAAATTTTCAGCTAAATTACCGTCCCTGCTAGCACGATAAAGTAAATTAAAATTATAAGGAATATTCCTTACGTTATAATGAAAATCATTTTTCTTCTCAATCCAACTAGAAAAAATAGCAAAATGTTGAGACCTAAGTAAAATAGAATCGTTAATATATTTTCGTTGTCTGGGAGGTTGTAAATTCACATTTAATTGCTTATTTGGAGCCATGTGATATGTAAGTGTGTTTTTAACCAGTTCCTTTGGTATTATTTCTTTAAAAGGATATACTTTAATGATAAAGTCTTCTGAGGAGATATGATTAAATCTTATTAACGGAATAAACCTTTGAATAGTTCTCTCCATTATTGTGATTTCATCCTTATTCCATTGTTCGGGATCTTGTGAAACATTAGAATGTTGAGCAAAACACCATTTAATCGAATTGTCCCAGATAACAATTTCATCCAATGATAAATCATCCCTTTTAAAAAGTAACTCCAATAAAGGTGCTTTTAAAGTGATGAACTTATCTGAATTAAATAATATTTCAGGGTTATCACAAATTTTTTCTAGGTAAAGATCCCATAAAATTGGGAATGATTCATTTTGATAAACCGCTTCAAAAATTTCAATAGGGTTTTGTTGCAAAAATTCATCTTGATGTTCAGTCAAGTATTCTTGAATGTATTTGGTTAAGGTTTCAATATTAATCTCATCAACTGCATTCAAAAGTTTTAAAATATCGGGTCCTTGTAATTTTTCTAAATCAATCTTTCCACAATAAATAAATCTGAAATTATAACAGAAAAATATATTATGGGTTTTAAAAACATACGATTACCCGTATGAATTTCATAAAAATTTTACATTACCTTAAAATCAATTTAAAAATTTGAGGAGAAATATTTGGTTTCCTAAAAATAAATTTTCCATTCTTTTTCTCAGACCATTTCTTAGAAAAGGCCGCATAGAAATATTGAGACCTTGTACGTAATATAAGTGAATGTGCGTGAATTTCTTTTACATTTTCATTTTCACCAGCGTAAATAATAACATCATATTCTTCCTCATTTTCAAATAATTTTTCAAAGTCGTCAATAACTTCTTGAGGACATTCAAAAGGCATTTTTTAAGGATACATTGCAGTAATATTGTTACGACTGTTTAAATTTAAACATTGTTACACATTGCAATAACATTATCACAATATCACATGTAACTGATGTAAGTACACCAAATACATAACTAAATTGTTTAAGATCGGCAGTTCGGCACAAATTTTGCCGGGTGATCATCTGACAACTTTGTAGTATCACAAAATTATTTTTGTCCGAAGTCCGAACTCCCAATATAACGTGATCTTTAACCATTGAAATCGCAAATTTTAGTTTATCCTTTATTTGCTCCACGGTTTCAGTTTCCGGGTCTTATTCATGTATAATTTAACAAGAATTTTTTTCAAGCTTGTAATTAATTAATTTAAATTAAATTAGCAGTACTAGCTCGTTGCTTTGCACTCAAATCAATCTAATTAAATAATGTATATATAATTGTTATAATTTTATAATGGAGTTTTTTAAAATATGATTATATTAGAATCATAACTATATTAGAATGATATAAATATATTTACAACATAAATATATTAAGAATAAATTAACTTATAAATTTAAAACTTTCCAATAAATTTTTTATAAAAAAAAGATTTCTGACAAATTTCTTTATTAAAAAAAAAAAAAAAAATTTCAAGCCAAAATTCCCAATATTCTCATTAAAATAAATTATTTTCAATATAATTTTCTATCAAAAGACTTCTAAATGTAATTCTCCATCAAAAAAGACTCACCTATAAAAAAGCCTCTCAATTCAACCAACAAAATTGTCAAAAAAAAATCTCCTCTATTAAATAAAAATTCTCTAATGAAATTCTCAATCAAAAGAAATATCCCCTATTAAAGAAAATATTTTCTACGAAATCTTTTATCAAAAACACATTGTCCCTATTAAAAAAAAAATTCAAGTTTCTCGCCTATTAAAAAAAATTCTCAAAAGAATTTCTATATCAAAAAAAACTTCCTTTCAATTAAAAAAAAAATCTTTAACGAAGTTCTCTATCAAAAAAAATAAATCTCCTATCAAAGAAATTTTTTCCATTTAAAAAAAAATTCTACAATAAAATTTCTATCAAAAAGAAAAAAAATCTCAGCAAAATTTATCAAAAAAAGAAACTCCTTATTAAAGAAAATTCAAAATTCTTTAATGAAATTCTCTATCAAAAAAAATCTCTCTTTTTTTAATAAAATTATCTATTAAAAAAAACTATTGTTATAAAAAATTCTTACTAAAAAAAATTTATTAACTTAAAAATGTTGCCGGGAACTAAAAAAATAATTATTATTACCGATCAAATATAAGAACATAGAATAGACCAGAAATTATTTATACTAAACGTCAATTGTCCCAGGTAACAATTTCCATCCAATGATAAGTCATCACTTCTCCAAAGTAACTTTAATAAAGGTGCTTTTAAACTGAAAATTTTATCTGAATTAAATACTAACATTTCGGGTTTTTCACAAAATTTTCCTAGGGAAACTGAAGGTTCAATGATGACAAGTTGCTTCAAGGATTTCGGTAGGGTTTTCTTGCAACAATTCATAACGATCAGGGGCAGTCATCCATCTGAAAATTAAATAATACCAATTTTAGGTCATGTGATATTACTCGTAATGTTTCGGCATGTTTCGCGTATATTTTCGGGTCAACTAAAAAAGTCAAAAAAGTATAGTATGTCACGTGAAATAATTTATTTAACTCTTCTGCACAGTAAACAGTAGTATAACAGCCTTAAGATTTATTATAACCCAAATTGGGCGAAACTTTATATACATATACAGTATGATATATGAAATTTTTTTCGATATTATGCATGTCACAGGCGCAGTAATCTGTGGCGCAATAAATATTAATCCAATTATACCACACTGTGCGAAAAAAAGTAATTTGCAAGCAAAAAATTGACACTCTAGTCTGTTTTATTTATTGAACCATTAACAATAAATTTGCCATAGCTCTCCAATCACAACTTATGTAAGTTTACACGAATTTACAAAATATTAACATTTCTATTATATCTAGCACCACCTTTCTAGGCAAGTGATGGCCTCTCTCACCTATTCCATTATAATATAAGTAACCAATTTCTAATTGTCCATTTGCAAATCTTTATTAACCACCCCCATAATATTTAAAGCCAATTTTTCATTTCTTATAGTTCCATATCCACTCACCAACATAAGTTTGTGCTATCTTTTTCTGATGCATTAATAAACAAATTAAATGCTTTATGGAATTTGAACTATTTTGTTTATTTGATATGAAGTTCTTTGACTTCAGCACAAAACCTTTCTAACCACTTCTATTCGTTAATTATTTTCCACCTACTCGCATTCTCGATAATTGCAACAAATGGTTTCAACTCTCCATCCAATTTATCTATTGATTCTAATAGCGACAATTCCTTTCCAAACTTGATAACTCCAATGATTTGACACAAACCAATGTAGTCCCGAATAATTGCTTGACATGGATTGAAGAGAAGTTGCAACAGAGTTGCAAGGCCAAAGTCAATAAGATAAAAATTACCATTTCTCTGTATAACGTTTCGTATGGCCACATCTCCATGCGTGTAACCACGGGCATGTATCTTCTCTAAGCACGATAATAGATCCAGAATTATTTGAAAAATTGTGTAATCATCTATATTACCGTTATCAGAATCCATGATTCAAAGTGTTGTCCCGCAAAATCGGTTAGTTTAGCCATGGATCCACCCATTGTATAACCTTCGAAGAGAATTGTGGGAACGCAAGAAAGATCTCCTAGTGCATGCAACGCTAATATTTCACGGTAAATTTGAGAGATTTTACTGTCTTTGAGAACTTCAATAGATAAAAAAACGATCGATATGGTAAGTCTATTATACGCAGTATAAGAAATTCTCAGGAAATAATTTACCTTCAAAACGGCGTCTTTTATTTCAAAATCATGTACTTGTACCAAAAAAACTATATACTCTTTTCCAGTTCCAAGGTGAGATGTAATCTGCACATGGATACAATTTCCAGAGTTTAATCTGGTACACTGTAGATACCCTCTTCGATGAAAGAATCCAAGAGACTTTCAGGAGAAATTAATGACTTATTACTTCTATACATATACGTTTCATCATTATTTGAGATTCTCCAGAAGCTCTCGTCAACAGGTCATCACGATAACGAAGAATTATGCTGTGATAAGTAAGGCCGTCTCTATACTCCGTCTCTATACTCCATTCATAAGTTGGACTTCACTTTTAGGTTATCAATATCATTTAACATAAGATAAACATCCGTAGAAAGCGTTTGATAAAGGTGGAATCGCTGAAAGGTATGCCCTGGCATATTTTATTGGTCGACCTTTCCCTTCACTTACTTTTACACTATCACTTAAACTATCCTTGACTTCCCAGCCCGCCCAAACCCTTTGATAAATCAGGTGGGTTATTTGTCAATTCTTTGTGGAAATCGGCATGGCCAATTATGATATCAGCGTAAACTTGATCTTTCACCCGAGAGCAAACATCCCATATACATCTCCATATACACGTAAACTACCTAATTGCATCGATTTTACACTTACTGGATTTGATCCTTGAACAGGAACACAAGGGTAGTCATTAAATACATTTTCGCCAATTCCTCTTTGTGATCTTATACTGGGATCCTCCTCGATTTCCCAATTTTTAAAAATTCCATATTTTCTCGCAAATCTGTACACAGAGGTAGAATTTTGTGTATTTCCTAACTTAAGAAGGAAATTCTCATATTCCAATTTCCGGATATTGTTCTAAATATAATGGTTGTTCTGAATATAATGGAAATAGTGATGCACACATTAAAAAGTAATGACAAAAAACAGTACGAAAATACTGCAATAAAAGACGTCTGTTTAATAACACGCGGGACGTACAAACGTTAAACTATTACAGTATATGGTAAAACTTACTTTGGGTGTTCAAATCATTGATTAACGTTACAAGTATTGTTGCAAGTCCATCAAGAAGGCTATATGGCTCACTACGAAGCTTTTCTATAGTCCATTGGAAAAAGTCAAGGCCAGCAACTTCCTGTTGACAAAGAGTTGCAAGTACATTCTCACTAAGGACCATTTGTAAAAAAGTTAAAAGTTATTCCGTATTATATTCATTTATTTCCTCATACGAAGGATTAGGATTAGCAGATATACTAACTGATAAAATACCAACTGGTTTTGGGTGTATATATATGAAATCTATTGTCGCACAAATCAGCCAGACGATCAACATGGTCGGTTACGTCATTTCGATTAATCAAAAAATTCGTTTGAAATTTCAGATGCAATGGAGTAGCAAGTGAGGAAGGGAGTAAACATGATGTATAGTCAAGTAATTTTGTGTATATTCGGTTAAAGTTTGAATATCAATTTCTGTCATATATCAAAGCTTTGTACTTGTAAATTCTCTAAATAAATCTTTAAATCTAAAATTTTTAACAGAGAAAATTACTAAATTTTTAAAATATACAATTTTCCATTAATTCCATAATCCATGTGACTTATGTTCATATAACTTCTACGTTATGTACCTTAAAATCATTTGAGAATGTCGTACGAAAATATTGAGTCCTTGTACGTAATACAAGTGAATGTGCATGAAATTCTATTTAAAAATAACATCGGGATATTTTTCACTTTCAAATAATTTTTCATAATCGTTAACAACTTCTTGAGAACTCAAATAGCATTTTTTTTTTTATGCCACGTGTATTATGTATTCTGAAGACGTTCCCATTTGACATTACAAATACTTAGGGGATGGCCAGAAATGACGTAATTTAAATTTTAGGATTTTTGATCCCCCCCTCCCTATGTCATCATTCGTTTTAGGAAATGTAAAATTAAAACATGATTCTGACTAGAATATATTAACTACAAGTGTCTAAAAATGGAAGGTGTGTAACATCATCATGGTCTTAACCCTCCTCCCTCTTAGGAAATGACGTCATTTCTGGCCATCCCCTTACTATTATATAGTATTTATATATCATAATATCATCCTAATGTTGATCGCCGTAAGTAATAAATACGGCAAAATTTACGAAAATGAAATGCCGTTCAGTATTAAAGTTGTAATACGAAATTATGCCGTATGCTGATTGAAATCACGGCACTATCGGTCTGATGGGCATGTCACAATCAATTTACCGAAAATCGTTACCACAAAATTGTCCAAAATAAAAAAAACTTAATTACAGCCGGAATTAAGTTTTTGTTGTAAGTTAGGCATGGATCCTATTAAAAGAAAAATTGTGAAAATCACCTAACTTCTATACTTAGAACTTTCTAATATATCTAATACGTTTGACATTACACCAATTACAACGGGAAAATTGCGGAAATTATTTACAACTTTATTGACATATAGAAATATGAGTATGAATAGCAGGAATAACAATTGGAGTAAAGATAATGGCTCAAAATAAGCAATTAAATAAGGATAAACGACTTCCCAGAAGATCAAATATATGTTTGATTCCACTATAATCAATCAAATCACATTGCAATTTTTGCAAATTGGATTTATAGAAAAGAGAAAGTCTCCGAATATATTCCCTATGATTTCTATCTTCTATATAGAGTAATCCGGGATTTAAGTAATGAATGGAAGTCTACACACTATTATTTTATATACTCATTTAAGGATGACCTTCAAAATGTAAAAGTAGGCTTTAGTAATGGTATCAATTCTATAAGTGCTCTTTATCCAGGGACTGGTATACCGATAATTATGAAGTCTTTCAAATTATTAAAAAAAAAAAATAGTTGGAATGAAGTAATTGTTATCATTTCAACTCCAAAAGTATATATTACTCATATATTTTAAATTATTATATAATAAAATTGTTATTATTACAATTTGTTGAAATACATTTATTAATTAAACTTTTTTAACTAATATTTTGAGTTAGTGATAAAGTATTTTTATCAAAGAAGTATAGTTGAGTATTATGCGAAGTTTAGACATAACGGAATTTAGTTTTCTTATCAAAAATAATATAGTTATATTTGTGGTACTTTACTTTAATCAATTTCAAAAACTTTTAAAAGGTTTTAACTTTTTAAAATTAGTACATCAGATTTTAATGAAATATCATTTTCTAAAAGAAGGCTATCTTATATGTAAATAAAATTCACTTAAAAAACATTTGGTAGAAATAATTAAAAATAATACGAACCAAATTAGTTCTTAATATTTGCTTAATAAAAATTGTTGAAACTTTTTTACAAAATTCAGAAATTTCAGACAAATGATTTGGTTAATTTAGCTATCATCAAAATAGTGCTAGCTGAAATTATGATTATACCGATCATCACCGAAATTCTGTAATTACATGTGATTGTGTTCCATGAGTGAGTCGTACAAAATTTAACATTTAAATTCAAATTTTTTTTTAACAGCAAAGATACTTGAATAAATTCTGGTTAAAATTAATAAATAAAGATGCCTTCTGAATACCTTAAGATTATAATGTTATTATTTACGTTGGTGAAAATGAAAATGTGAAAGAAATACATGCACATTCAAATATTTTACGTATTAGGTCACAATACTTTCGCACAGAACTTTCTGAGGAATTTTCTGAGAAGAAGGATGGAAAATTTATTTTTAGAAAACCTAATATTTTACCTCAATTATTTGAAGTTATTTTAAGGTATCAGATCAATGTAAATTTATATTATGGCACATTATATTAAATTAAATGTCACAGCTAAAATTTTTTTCTTTATATTCAGGTTTATTTATTGTGGGAGGATCGATTTAGAGAAATTGCAAGGACCTGATATCTTAAAGCTTTTGATAGCGGTGGATGATCTTGGGATTCAAACTTTAACCAACCATATTCAAGAGCATTTGATTAAAAATCAACATGAATTTTTACAACAAAATCCCATTGGAATTCTTGAAGCAGCTTATCAAAACGGAACTTTCACAGAATTATTAAATCTTTCGCTCAAGAAAATTTGTGATGAACCAGAAATATTATTTAGTTCAGATAAATTTATTAGTTTGAAACCATCTTTATTAGAATTACTTTTTAAAAGGGATGATTTAATGATAGATGAAATCATTATATGGGAAAGTTTAATTAAATGGTGTCTGGCTCAACATTCCATTATTTCACAAGATCCTAGACAATGGAATAATGAAGAAATTACAATTATGGAGAGAACAATTCATAAATTTATCTCATTAATAAGATTTAATCATATTTCTTCAGAAAATTTTGGTATTAGGGTATATCCTTTTAAAGAAATAATGCCAAAAGATTTAGTTAATAACATAATTCTATTTCATATGACTCAAAATAAAAAATTAAATGTAGATGAACGACCTCCTAGGCGATCAAAATGTAAACTTGATTCTGTTATAATTAATCAGAATTATATTTCAATTTTTGCTAATTGGATTTATAGAAAAGAAAAAATCTCCGGATATGTTCCTTATAATTTCCAACTTTTATTTAGAGCTAGTAGAAATGGTGACACAGCTGAAGCATTTCATAAAGAATGTGATAATAAAGGGGCTACTTTAGTTATAATAAAAATCAATAATTCGGATCAAATAGTTGGAGGATATAATCCACTTTCTTGGGATACCTCGGGTTGGAAGTCTACTTATGATAGCTTTATATTCTCGTTTAAAAATAAAAATGACTTTACTAGTACTAAAGTAAGTTATAGTAATGGTGACCAATATTCTATAGGCTGCCATTCAATAAATGGTCCATTCTTTGGTGGTAGCTGGGGAGATTTAATTCTCTATCAAAGTATTTGGTATAGTGAGCCTAATAAAAAGGATAATTGCTCTTATCCCAAAATTGATATACCTATAGGTAGTTTTAAAGCAGATGATTATGAAGTTTTTCAAGTTGTTAAAATATAATTAGATTGCACTATATAATAAAAAAGTTTTACTAGAGATTGAATTTTACAAATTACAATAATAAGTAATAGGATTTGGTATAATCGTATAATTTTAATGCTTCAAAAAAAAAAATCGTGTAACCAATACAAGATGACTGCGTTTTGCAAAAATAATAAACTATGTTATTGCCATTTTATAAAACGAATAATAATATTTATTTATGTTGACCTTTGGTCGCAACCAAATGCAAATTACGGTTATTTGACTTTTGAGATACAAAACGAAAACATTTAATTTAAATTAATTAATTGTGAATAAGATCAGGAAATAAACGGATAAGACCAGGAAATGGAAACTGCTGAGCAAAAAAAGATAAACTAAAATCTGCGATTTGCCCAAATTTTAAATTGCGAAAAAAAAGACTCTCTCGTCGACCTAAAGACCAAAATTTTAAAAGAAAATTTATAGACAAAATACACATAATTCATTACCAAAACATATATTTTTCATAAATGTTTTTCTTGAAACATATAATAAATATCACGAGAGTAAAATTTAAATATTACGACATTAACACACATAAATATATGTCCTACTTACCCAAATATGTCGACTGATGAATTTCATTCTAACCAAAATGATCAACAACCTCAACAACCTCAACAAATAAATCAACGTGAGATTACCAACCAGGTCATTACATCGTTTAACAAGAAAAATTTTTTTCCAGTTTCACAGTTTCACATTGAAGTCTTATTTCCCCAACATTTCTTTAAGATAATTTACACTTGTTTTAAAGAAGCTATTATTGGTATTGAAGGATACATAGGACCCATAAAAGCATCAACATCACCTTCTTATTATAGGATTTCATAATGAAGCATCACGGAATTCAGTAACTAATGTTGAAAATATAATATTGTCAAAGCACCTTTCTTCGTATATTCCAAAGAAGAAGTAAAACGAATTTTAAATATTCTAAATCAGGAAATTAAAAATCGTCATAGACGTTTCAAAACATCTATCTGAACACGACTTAAATGTCATTTTTAGACAATATGGCAATATTGTTAAAATAACGAAGAAAGAAAGATGTTCGTATTTTGATAAAAATTTAGGGCAACGAGCAATATTAAACACATTTCTAATAGAATTTGACTATACCAAATCTGCCAAATTATTACGTATTATTCATCCGAATTACAACAACGAATATAATACGAAAAGACAAACATACAGGGTTATATATTGATACTACAGTAGATAGTCTATCATCTATCATCACTAGAATTAAAGAAAAGCTTGTGAAGTTGTACTATAACACCACATAATAACAAGCAAATTACAAAACACGCATATATTCATGTTAAATCAGAAGATTTTAACAAAAAAATTCAAATAATTAAAAGTTGACCCAAGATCGAAACTTTATTTAATTCTAATTATCAATAAAGATGATGGATTTAAACATTGTACAGTCTGTGGTAATCCTAAACACACATATCAACAAAAAAATTCTCGTCTATTGAAGATAATCAGATAAAAATAAATGATATCAAAGCAAAAGCTTTCACATATTAATCCATTTAGTAAAACTACTTACTTCAACAAAAATAATCATTACACTTCAAAAAATATCCCCGAGAAATATCAAATCACAACGCCCACCTAAAAATACCACAAATATTTAACAACCGATCATAATACAGTCAACGTCAAGATATCAAAACTTTAACTGACAAAATTAAATTACAAGAATTAAAAATTAATACATTAGAGAAAGTGATCGAACAACATCACGCATTGCAAAAACAAGGAGAAATTAACCAACAATTAGAAGATAAATATAAATTATTCGGGAGAATCGCGTGACTTTCAACGAATTAAAGAAATTCAAAAAGACACATACTATCAGAAAAGAACAATCAGAAATTCATTTTCTACAAGAGCGATCAATATTACGAAGATTCAACTACACAAACCGAATCTTTAAAAGACAAAGATACTATAATAATAAGAGTAATTATACACTCCATCAAAATCCAATAATACAACGCCAATAACTCAAAAACCTCATGTGGTATTGCTCACTTACGATTAAAAAAAAATGGATACAGATGATTGTATCTCTGATAATAACGGATTAATCTATCTCAAAATGACAGCAATATTGAAGATGAAGAAATAGATACAGCTTATCAAGAATTTTAAATTAACAATTGAGATTCCACACCATCAGGCCTAACCTACGAACTTACCAAATTTTTTGGTAAATATGTTAGGCCAATAAATTGATAATAATCATTATTCAATCAATTCCGTTTTCGTTTCCGATTCATTCTTTCTTGTCTTTAACCCCAACTTAGGTTTATATTTAACAATTTACGTTCACATTCTTTTATTAATTTTGGTTCTCTAAAGGAAAATTAGATGATATCATAAGTGATATGAACAAAATGCATCATAAAATGAAATAGCTTAAAGAGAATTTGTACTTTGAGAACATTTTTATTTTCTTTGTATCGAATTGTTAATGATCAAGGAATATGTTGATTACTAACGAAATGTCCCTTCGGCGAAACTTCCCTTTGGTGAAATTGCTTCTGCGAAATGAACTTCGGCGAAACGTACCGTAACTCTCTGGTGATCACCCGGGATTTTTGAACAATATGGCGCATTATAAGATTATTGAACATTTACCCTGGATCGGGATGATCATTGTGTGATCGATTCTCTATATCAATGATGATTAGGGAAGGAAATCGGTTCGTCAGTTCTAATTCAGTTCCATATCGGTTCTAATAAATAAAAATATGAACTATGTGCATCAAATTCAAGACACAAGTAGAGCATATGATGATGATCAATCAGGAAAATTTTGTACGGTGTACCTTTTTGTCCTTTCATTACTATTGTCAGAAACAACATTCGCTGAGTGCTCCACACTCGTTTCATTCTGTTTTCCTTTCTCTATCCTGGGCGAATTGTGAACGTTTGATGCTTCGAACGTTGAGCTTTCCTTTTCAGAAGATGTGGAGTTCTTGAGTTCGAAGTTTCTTTTTCCTATTCCTCTCTCTTATCAGATTACTAATCATTTTTTTGTTTTCCTAATCTAGGAAAGAATCCATCTCCTTTTCTTCCAATAGTTTTGGATATCTTTGACAAGGCTGAAATAAATTGACAGGTGATACCTTTGGTATCGGTTCTTCAGGAATAAAATCATCTATTTCCTTATCTGATACTTTTGGTACCCCTTCCATTGATTTGGTGTTAGCATTATTTTGTTGGTCCACTACGGAGTTGGATAAATCAACAGCTGATATTGAATTATCTATAGATAACCGCACCTCTGGTATCGTTTCCTTACCATTCTGTGCTTGACCATCCACAACCAAGGAAGCCTGTTCCACTATCGCAAATATAGCTTCAATCTCTGTATTCATTTGTTCTAGTTACTTGACTCTGGCTTCGCGTATCGTATTCTCCTCAATAATCTGCTTCAACTTCGCATTCTCAGCCTCAGCCTCAGCAAATTTCTTTTCCAGTACAGGAATCTTATCGTTCTTCCTTCTAATCTTGGCAATCTCAGCTAAAAGTTTAGCATTTAATTCTCTTAATGAATCAATGGAGTGAATATTTTCCATTATTTTTATAAATTCGGGTATATTCAATTTCAAATTAATTAAATCATGTGCGCATTACTTTTCGTAACGTTGATCACCGTTTACCAAGAAAAAAAAATTAATACATGAAAAAAAAAAATACAAAGTTCGAGACGTAGCCCACGAAACATGATGTCTATACTAATATATTATGGTCGATTATTCCCTTGATATATTTTTCCATCCTTGCTTTCTTAATATCAGGAGAGTCATCAACCTCCACCCAATCCTTCAATAAACCCACAATCACTTCCATAACTTCCTTAACCCCTTGACGAAGTTTTATGTCATCATCTAAAATATCTTTGGTAAGGGCGATGTGATAGTCAGCTTTCGTGCAATAGGTTCTTTCCGCCGAGGCTAGAATAAAGAAAAGCGTAAGACAGCAGTTCGCAAAAAATCTCAAGAAAAAATGCCATACCTGTAGTAACGATTCCATATAGGTAGTCGAACTCGTGATCAAAAGCTTCATATGCCTTCCTTTTTCTTGTGTTCGTGTGGTAGGAACTCTCGAGTTGCATCACGTTTTGCATGAACCCCACCACCAAGTCCTTTTGTTTGCCTTCTGTTACAGCTATCAGCTCCTCATTCACGGTATATATGATTTTCTTGATAGTAAAATTAATATGACCCGATGCTTCTCCGCCTTCGACCTCAAGTTGAGGGTTTAGGTGATTCTATTCTTGGCAAGTCTTTTAGTAATGAAGATGTATGCATATAATATTCCCTCGATATAAGGCCTCATTCCTTCCTGTTGCTGGACCCAAGTTACGCATTTTGGTGAATGGGGGAATACATGTTATATTATTGCCACCGACTTTATATTTGCTCAGTATATTCTCCAAGTATTTCTGGGTTTTATAAGACGAAAATGGCTTTAATTTACGCTTGCCAAGTTCCTTAGCGAAGTCCGCAAGCCTTGACGCAGGTCCTAAAGCTAAGCAAGCAAATACTGCCAAACTCATCTTTTGTTGTCTTGAAAAAGTCACGGCCAGTAATCTTTTCTTTTTTAATAATCCTCAAGTTGTCCTTGTCAAGCTCTAAGTCTTCTTCCTTACGCAAGAAATTAATAAGTTCATTCATTTTATATTTTCAAACCACCTCAACCTGAGTGGGAGCATTTTTTTCTTCCGTTGCAGTCTTCCATTGCAGTTGCGGAAGTAGAGGTAGAAGCTGGTGTATTAGTTTCAGAGACAGACACTTTTTATAGATAGTTGAATCGGATAAAAAATTGTGTTACGTTTCAGAGTGAAATATATTTTTACTGAACAGAGCATAATTTTCTGTATTATATAATACTACATGTGGGTGGTGAGTGGATGTAAAACATTACGTAATTAAATTTCATTATGTAAGCATCAAGCGATAAAGATAGGTAACAAACTAGTTAAAGAACTTTTTGTGTTTCATACTATAACATAAATAAACACGAGCCCTAGACCTAGCCCTGTAATTGGAATAATTTTGGGTTAACCAAACAAAATTATTCACATGAAAAAAATGTCTTACCGAGAAAGTTGTATTCTGTTATTCATATTTCTTTTTCAATTTCGATTTTGATTCGACATTCATAAGAGCTAGTACGAAGTTAAGTTTATCGTCTATGAAGTTAACTTTATTGTCTATTAAGTTTAAATACTTGTTATGGAATTCAATTGTTGCCATAATTTTTTCCACTTTTTCGTCCAATCAAGATGTTATAATGTGAAACCAGTGGCATCATCATTTAAGGTTACGTTACTGTACATACGTTTTTGATTTGAATAATATAATTAAACAGTTCAAAAAACTTTATGATGAAGACTATAGCTCCGAGAAGTTTCGCAATGTTGTTAAACATATCAAAATAATCTAAAGATATATAGATTTATTAATATCGATATGTTAACAAAAAGAACAGTGCAAAAACATTTTCATACCACTGATAACGGTTGAATTGTCCATAGGCGCGTATCGTGTGATGAATAATGAATTTTTTTAATTTTGAAAGACACTTTAAACTTTTTAAAAATGTTTGCATAAGTTAAATTTATAAATTAAATTTTTGTTGATCTTAAAATACTTCATTGTATTTATGTCATGAGTAAAATATTACGGTCACGTTATTAGTCTTCATTGATTTTGAGACATACATACACGATTACGATTTACAATATCCTCAAATTTTTTGAATCTTTTATATCAGCTGGCCTCCAATGTAATTTGATGTTTTGGGAAGAAGGCATCAAGCTCTAATCCTTGCAAGAAAGAAGGTTGATAGTCGATTAATGGCTCTTCATCAAGGAGTATTTGGGCTATTAAAATACATTTATCTCGAAATTTGCGATTTTTAAGATCTAACTCTTTTGTAAGATCATCTATAGCCAGTAGTTTATTTAGTTAATAAATTTTATAAATTTTTTAATAATAATTCTTTTTACAATTGATCGGATTTGATAAAAAAACATTTTTTTTTGTAATAATATAATAAAAATTCGTTTAGAAGGCCTGCTTGATCGGCAAGTCATGTTGTCTAATCCAATTCCGGTTAATGAATTTTATCAGAATTTTTTTTTTCCTTTTCTTTCGAACCAATCTAAATTTTTTCTGTTCTCCCTTTGTTTTTTTTCTTGAACTGATCTTTTACTTTCAGTTCTTTCCTTTTTTTCATATTTCCTCTTTTCTCTCTCGAAACATCTTTTTCTTTTCTTTTTTCTTTTCTTTTTTTAAAAATTTTTCATTTTTTTTTTCTTTTTCAGTTTTTTTTACAAACTGAAATTTTTTTTTTGTTTTTTCTATTCTTTCCCCGTTTAGATTTGGACTTTTTTCCCAAACCGAAAAACTATTATTATTTTTTTTTTATTAAATAATCTTATTGTTTCAATCTTTTAAGACCGATTTTTTTTTTATATTATTTCTTTTTTTCGGCAATTTTTTTTTCATTTTTTTTTCTTTTTCTTTCAAATTTTTTTGTTGTTTTTTCTTTCTTTTTCCTTTTCGGTTTCTTTTTCAAATTTTTTTCATTTTTATTTTTCAAAATTTTTCTGTTTTTTTCCGGTTGGCTTTTTCTCCAATCTGAAATTTTTTTCCCCTTTTCCTCTTTCGGTTTGGCTTTTCAAACTGAATTTTTTTTTTCCTAAATACATTCTTTCACCATTTAGGTTTGGATCAATGCTGCGGCGTCATGGTTATTACCTTTTTTTATAATTAAGTTAATAATTTTACAACAAAAACTTTTTTACAATTCCCGATTCTTATTATTAATAATAACAATATTTTTTAGGCTGTATCAAGCTCAATAATAGACTAACATAATTACCGTACTTATTTATTTATTTTTTTGTAACAATCGATCGTTATAATTAATATTTCTGAGGAATTCTTTATTTTCATGACAATAGAAGTTTTTCAGAATTTTTTTTCATATTAATTAGTGAGATAATTTTTTTTTCTATAACAATAGATTGCTATAATGAATTTCTTGAGATATAATAACAATATTTATGTATTTTTTTTCAGCAGAAGATGTAATTTTTTTAAAGCTACAATGAAATTTTTTAAGATAAAAAAAAGATTTTTTTGTAACAATGTAACAATAAACTACTTATACAAAATTATCATTGTAAATGTATAAATAAAATCATAAATTTCATAGTACTGCAACATTTGTTTCATATTAAATAAAATTTGCATTTAATAATAATATTTCATATACTCACACAATTCATTGTTATTTAAATAATCATATAAATTGTGTGATTTATTATATTTATTCCTACTAATACCATCATAATAATAGTAAAAAACTAAACCTATTCACACTGCATGGCAAATAAAAATATAAAATATGTGTTTATTATTACTCTCATCCCGGCGCAGCGCGACGAGTATATCCTTACTGAGTCCGGTCCGATGATCTTTCTGAGTCCAGTCATGTCAGTTTTTAGCACAGTCATGTGAATTTTTGAATTTAAACTTTGATCAGACTTCGCTACCATCAGACTGAGTTAATTGTGCTGAGTCCTGTGATGTTGATCAATCGGACTGAACTAAATTTACACGACTGATCTACATTTCTTGTATTTAATAATTTCAATTATGATAGTATTTAATATTATTATATTAACCCGAAAATTTTATAACTAACATTTGGTATTTCTATTAGTGAATTAAATGTAATATTATTTTTATTATTTTCAGTAATGTCAATTACATCCATGTTTTTCTTTATAAAATTAAATACATGAAAATTGAAAGAAATACTTTGTAGATTTCATTTGGAAGGTTTACAAATTTGAAATTATTAATTAAAATTATTAATTATATAATATTAATGAATTTATAATTATTCATTATGGCATAATATTAATATCTCATTAAATTAAAAAAAATTTTTTTTAATGACTCATTATAAAGCGAATGGCAAAAAAAAAATCCAAGATCAAGCTTTATAATTAATCGGACCCAAGTGATTTTAAGCGGATCATCGGACCGCATGGTCTGAGGGTCCGGACCCAAATCCACATGATTGTACTAAAAATTGACATGACTGGACTCGGAAAGATCATCAGACCGGACACTGTAAGGCATAACCGCAGCGCGACGGGTTACATCTAGTTTCTAAATAAAGTAATATATTTGACTCCATTTAAAAAAAAAAAAAATGGAGTTGTTGCGACGAATAATATTTTAGTAAACCATGAATACAGAAAGTAAGAACAATATACAATTCATTGAGATGCAAGCACTTTTGTATAAGTTTTGCCTTGATGCATTTTTAAATCAAGATTAAATAAATTTTGTTGTGCTTCAATTAGTCTAATAATCCCATAATTATCATCATTTATAAATAATTCTAATTTTTTAATTGATTTGCAAATATCTGCTAATCCGGCCACAATATCATCATTTATATTAGCATTACATGAAAGGAATTCAATTTCTGAGAGGCAACTTCTAACTTCTAAGGAATAAGATGTATTTGAAAATTAAAATTATAAGGGATATAAAGGTGTGTAAATTTTCTACTTCAATTAATAAAAAGATTAATTATTTCATTTGTTAAAATACTATTAGATTCTTTATTTGTAAATTTCAGGATTATATAATCAATACTAACTAAATCCAAATGACTACAAAAAACTAATATAATCAAATAAGGGTTTTTGATATGAATTTGTTAAAAAAGGTAACAAATCGATACATATATTCTTTAAGGTATTTCTTGATTCATTTGATAAATGTGAGATGATTACGTTTAACATTTGTTTCCATCCTGAATCCTTTAACTTCCAAGGATTCTTCCATAAAATTGGTACAGCTGTTCTACACCAAGTTCTATTGGTTGAAAGACATGAATAAAGTGTCCTTTTTCATCTTTCAATATTTTTAAATATTAAATAAAGAATATCCTCGCTTAATTGGGACATTTTTTTTATTAAAAAGAGGGGAAAGTATAGTGTTTGAAAATTAATTCAATATTTACAATATTTATGTAAATACTAGTAGTACAAGTAATGCTGTACTACATTTATTTATAGTTATCTATATTTGTTAATCGATTGAGTTGATGATATATACGCCATTGAAATTTAAAAGGAAATTTCAACAATTTCAACAATATATTTGATTAATAATTATTGTTGTAATTTAAATTTGAAAAGGAAAAATTTAATTGATCATAAAGTATTGTAATTTCATTTTTTGAACTCCCATTAGAATTATTATTTAATTAATAATGAGCCATTAAAACAATGAAAAAAGGATGCATAAAGGTCTTCAAAAAAAAAAAATAAAGAAAAAAAACATGAAATTTCTTGGAGTTGATTATTGATATTTTACGGTGTTGTACCACCGTACAATGACTATATATCGTAAGACTAATGCAAATAATGCCCCGTAAAAAAAGTCGATCCGTTTTTATATTCCGTCTTTTTTCCGTAAAAGGCTCATATTTCCGGAATTAATAACCTTATGTTACGGAATTTATCGAATTATTTACAGTTTCCGTGAAAGGCTCATTTTTATGGAGTTTTTACAAAAATAACGGATAAAATTTTTTATAGGGATGCTTTAACTGAAGACTTTATATTCATACTTATTAC